TACCATGACTCCAGTTGAGATACATCTGTTTCTTACATTTTGATTAAACCTATATTTAGGAGATCGAAATTGTGTGTCAATAAACACTTATAATTGTGAAATTATGTTTTTTTTAAGTCCTTACACCAATATATTTGATTTTATGTATACTTTGAGGAGAATATATCTATAGAACTCCCTCTTAGTTCGTTCATTCGGCGGTTTCGATTTCGATACGAGGTTTTGTAATGCTAGTTCAAAAGATCAGAGTAACACGTTAGGGACAGACAAGCATTGAGTTCAATCGATGAAGGTTGAAATACCCCAGCCATAAAACATCTAATGTAATGCGGAGTCGACCTTTTTTGGCTTTCTTCGAAAATCGGCTAAAACCGAAATACGGTTAAAATTCTGTGGACGGCGGTTCGTGACCCGGACAGAATATCGATATTCCTAGCAAACATTAGATATTTAGATTGCACAAGAGTACAGTGCTTGTAATATTTAGGTACACATATAAATTTGCCCTGATCTTCGTTTTGTATATTAATATTCTATTTATTTGATTTGACTATTTAAATATAACACTTTTACTATACTAAATATGTGAGTACTGATTTTATCTACGCAACCATTTCATTACATCGTTTAAATTATAGCTCTTAATTCTATTGTTTTATTAGCCCTATACAATTGGATAGTCTGTTGTTTCTATTTTTAGTTCTATTCGATTATCCTGGGATCCAACACTTATCGTGCTATTTGTTATACCAAGTACTAAATCATTAATATCCGTTTGAGATACATTGAGAGGACCGGTTCGCAATTTTTAACACGTCAACTGTTAAGGTCTTTGCACGCCAACCAAACAAAGCAATTCGAGTGAATACAGAATCTTCCCAATCCTAATTATACTAATAACGAATGACACTTAACTATAGTACTTCGGCGTACCACATTCGAGCCCGGGCGAAAATATAATTCTTAGTCGATTCCTATCAGAAAGAAGACCTGTGCCTAGCAGTGGGAAATTTATAGGAATTTATTAAAGGAAAGCATTAAAGGAATAACAAAAAGATTTTTAAAAAGTTACAAAACCAATAGTCATATTTTAAGTTTCTTTTTTAATTAATTTAAAATATTTAGGACACGAAATTAGTCTAAATAAGGACAATAAAAATGTACTAATTGTGGTACAGTAGTAAGTTTAAAGTGTACATTTTAAATTATGGGCCAAAACTAGAATCTGTCGTACAATTATCTGGATGATGATGATGATGATGGCAATGGCCATATATCAACACAAATTATTTTAAAATCATGTTCGATTATAGTTTAAATCGTTCACAATGAACTATTTTTCCGCGGCGTAGATTTTGTAGAATCTCAACATCTAATCAATCAAGTCCAGAAAATGCTAATTAAAAGCCGGAAAATGAATAAGTGCTTATGCAAACTATTACGTACAATATGGTCTTGATAAGGCGGACCGCGAACGCTATGAATAATACCAAACTTCTAGTTATTACTGTAAACAATAGCCATGTTTGGCTAACCGATGCGCGGTATCTTCTCTGTAGTAAAACACCTATGTATCTAATGTGTGAAGAAAAAATGTTGTGCTCCTTTTAGGAAACACGGATGAAGGAATATATATATGTATATAGATATATCGTATTTCATATAAGTTGTGTTAAATTAAATACCAACTAAATAATACCGTATCGACATTAAAACCATAATAAACGATTTTTATACAATAATAGTCTAAATTATTGTATGAAAATGTGGTATGAAGGTATCATTGTTGTAATTTAATGTTTTAACATAAAATAATATCGTAGGGTTTTGTTTTCACGTGTTTCCTACAAAATTTTAACAAGAAAGCAAGACAAAGAAGAATTAGGTAAATGAGTGTTTTTAAATTCGAAACATCTTTAAAGACTCGAATTGTTCGAAACTCGCACGCAATTGTAATTGGCGGCTAAAGTACGGAAAGTTAAAAATAGCAATGAAATGTACTCTTCAGCTGAAAATAAGGCACAAAGCTTACTATAAAAATAGATTCTGTTAATAAAATAAGAGTTGTATGAGTTTCAACCTATTATTGTCTTTTGCTGGGCCTAGGTCTCTCATTAAGAAGTTTAAGGGCTTAGCTACACTACTAGAGCTGCCAAATGTTATCAACTACGGGCTGGTAGGATGGAACCTCGTCAACGAATGCACTAATGGCTAGAATACAGGCTAACGAGTAATTTTTTACCTTTTTAAACTGAATTTTGATTTATTTTTAATCTTTACATGTTTGGTTTTACGGTTTAGTTATATCACATAACTATTTTTTTATTAAATCATAATCCAAAGTAGATTTACGCTCTTAGTGTTTCAAAACTGCGTTGCACACAAGTACGATAATAAAACACGTCATACCTACTGTGTCCAAAGCAATGCACGATTAGCGACGAAAACATTTTATCACGATATGTTAATATTTGTTACTTTCTAATTTGACAAATTGCTTTAACAATATTGATCACATTTTAAAAATAATTTGTACCAAGGTGTTTACGACGGTTAAATTGCGACTCGGTTTGCAAAAACTTTACTAATATTACCAGCAGGTTCTCAACCTGTGACAGTGGTTACCAGTTTAATAAAGATGCAGGTTCGATTTCCGATGTTGGAAAATTCAGGATCCTAATGCTTATCTAACATTTAATATTTCGACGATATTCGACGTCACTCAAACGCAGGTTTGAATCTGAGAATCCAGAACCTTATTGAAATTACATTGTCAAGATACATCAAATAAAACTCTTTCAACGGTTTAAAACGGGAAATATAAATTATTTTCACTACAAATAGACGCTTTAGATACTGTGAAAAGTATGATTTAAATTATTTACATTTTAAACTGGTTAAGTTTGTTTAATATTTCAGAATATTTTCAGCAGAATCCGAATGACTTTGAAAGAGGTGTGTCTTGATAATTTTGCGCTAATCTTTAACCTTGTGAGGCGTAATGCGCAGGAGTCGTCAAGAGATAATTATGTATCTTGGTGTCGTCACAGATTGCGGGTATTTTACTCATTAGTGTCTCGTGATGGTGATGACAATACTGGCTATTATATCAGATCCATATCCAACATGGCTGCCATTTGTTGACAATGATCTATTTGTTATATATCAATTATGAAGTGGTCACGAATTCTGAATTGATATTACACTAGTCATAATACCTGTTACCTGTTTATCTTCTATTCTGCTCTATCTCTTACACACGGATCTTTTAAATTGCAAGTATGTAAAGGACTAACAAACGTTATTACATTCCTGGAATTATTCATTGTTCTAAGTTTCCGTATACCAAATGTATTTATCGCTGGATAAGTCGCGAAAATTACAAACAATCTAATACCACACTCTCATCTTTTATAACTTGCTTTTAAAAAGCTAAACAATACATTTCCAGCTCCGTTTGCTTTGTATTCAACTTCACAAGTATTTAAATGAGAACCCAAATTATCCCCTATGGCCACAAAAGATACAAATATCCGCAACGTCAGTTTGTAATTATATTATCTAAAAAAATTAACTAACACATTTTATGTTTAAAAACGTCAAAAATATTTTATGTAAATGTGTTATACTCGCGTGAACTACAGACAACATTAGTCCCATTATTATGATAAGTGACCCTACAGGAAAATGCTTAAATTTACCTCGATATATAAATTATTAGAATCACAGTTATAATAAACCAGGCGACTGGTTCCTTCCCAATTCAAAGGGAACCAGTTCAATCCAGTTCAGCGAGCGGCCTTGCCCACTAACAATCGACTCAAAGCTATAAAAGCTCCTAATTTCTGCAATTTAAAGTTGAAAATAGTTTAAACCTGTTAAGCAACAGGGGGAACAAAATCGCATGCATACAATACGTTTAAAAGTCGTCTGAGTCACCTATAGGGGTAGCTACTGGTCGCGTTTTGCTTGGGGTAATACATTGTGGATAACTGTAATCAACGATGATATTTATAAGCAGTCCCTTAAAATTTACATAAATTAACATTACACATGTATCCAGAAACGAAGAATATCTTTTATCGTCATTTGTAATTTAGTTAGCGCATAATAAAGGTTACAAACTTACAATACACACTTTTTACAGCATTAATCCATTCTTGTCTTTAGACTTCTTCACATTGATGTAGAATGCTAAAACTAATACATAACATAATTATGGTAGTAACTTGTGGAACAATTGAAGGTACATGGTAACAAATATTAGAAGGGAAATATTGTCAGCGTCATAACAAACAACTCCGTACGTTGTTTTATTGAACTACATGTTTCGCTTCATCCTCGCTTGGGAATATCTATTTATATTATCCTACGAAAATAGCTCAGACGCAATCACGTGGCGAAAACATGAGTATTGAGTACACCGAGCCCCCAAATCAGTGCCAGAACGCGACGTCACTCAGTGTCACATCAAATGATACCTGGCTACATCCCTAAAGGTCTGATGTAAGGGTCTGTTGGGCCGTGTAATATTATGACACACGTTATGTGAACAATCCTCATAAACGCATAAAAATATAGTCGTCCTTTATCCGATTTTAGTTTTACTGTCTATTATTAAATCCTTAACTAGCTATGCCGGCGACTTCGTCCGCGTAGAATAGTTATTATGGCCATCAAAAATTTGTTTTTGCTCCTCATCTTTATAAATTGTACCTAATAATAATTACGGTTGTTTGTTACAGTTTACTATTAATTTCAACTTTTCTAGATTTTTATGTCTATTTTCCTGCTCGTGATTCAAAATGGGCATTATTAACACATATATAGCTGACATGTTACTGTATTTTATAGAATTATTATTTTCGGATTTCAAATACTTTAATATATATTTTGTATTTTACATACCTATTAATTTATGATCTTGGCAAGAATATTTTGCTCCTGTAAAATTTACCTTAATGAAGTAATGATTTATAAGCCTTTGTATTACGTTTCAGAAACCCCAACTGCGGCCTATGATAGCAGAGTATGACCCTAAGAAAAAGGGAGTTAGAAATGACTTATCGGATCTCGTCATGGTCAAGTAAGTTACAGGTTCCGTTTATTTCTTTGGTTGTCTAAAGCATTGTTCATCAATTAACTAGCTTTGTATGCATTTTGTTTTATCGACAGACATATAATCCGTTAGATGAACAATTTTATGTTGCTTGTTGACATTGTGAATAATACAGCGTACAATAAAATATAGGAATCTTTCCGTTCAGCATGCTTCAAGGCTTTTTCTCATTTTGCGGGTATTTTTGTTTGATTTGTCACTTTGCAGCTCTTATGAGATTTCGTAGAACATTTGTAATGTATTACCTAATTATTCATATATTTTTGTTCAACAGGACAATGAAAAAGCAAATATGTAATCGTAAAAAACATTTTGAATTTATTCTATATTCTCCTCAAATAAAATGTTGTTCAATTGTTTATCGTTAAAATGGTATTTTATATTGTATGTTGACTGTTAAGTTATTGCTCCTTATACGGGCTAATAAAACGCTTGTCGCCGTTTGGAGACGATCTGGGAAGACGCGAGCTGCTTCCACGAGATTAAAGTCGTTCGACGACCTTGATCATCTCGCTCAGGACTCATACACCGGTACATCATTCCATTTTATGGTTTCAATTTTATTTTAATTTTTGTTTGGTATTGGTAAACTGTAAAATATACTGTGTCTTACGGGAGTCGAAGCCGTAGTTGTTGCGTGCCTGTGCCTCGGCGGCTTCTATCTCCTGTGCGCCATCTCTGTTCAGGTTCGGGATTGACCCTAGATCCATTGTTTTGTACAAATTTAATTTAGCTTTATGTTATCTTGTTTCGCATGAATTTCGCCATTCAGATAACTTTCTTAACACTTCATCGTTTGAAAATTGTTTGTCTCGACTACATTTAATTCTTCGACAACGTAAAGCTGTATTGAATTTTAAGATGGGGTCATTCTTTTGTAAATGCCGAAGCTTAATAGAGTGAAACGCACTAGGCAAACTGTCACTTACATATGGAGACCATAATTATAGTACACATCACTCAAAAATACAAAAAATACGAAACTACACCCATTCAAATTTAAAATATAAAGTAATTTAATAGTTTTTAATAGCGGTTAAATAACGTCACATCACGATACACGGCATTACACAGAACGGTTCACACTCAGCTTCTCGAACGCGCTTTTTATGTTCGCCATGTACCACGGAACATCCAGAATATCATAATTTTGCTTTAAAACTGTCTGAGTACACTTATAATTCACTCACCTCTTACTAATCCACAATTAATCTTAGTTTTATTTACATATAATAGCGAAAAAGATATATAATAGTCGCTTTAAATTCACAGGTATAAAGTCGATCCAAATGAAATACCCGTGGAACAACAGGCGGGGTCTACCCTCCCCCTCATGGAGATACCTGGTCGGGATATTGAGGGAGACGAGGATTACAATCCGTTTGAGCATAGAAAGTTGGCGCATCCGACATCGTAAGTAGACAATCAAAATAACCTGCTAGCCATAAAAGGAAGACATCCTCAGAGATCTGAAAGGCGTGTGGTGTGATCTTTTTTATCTGACTGAAACCGAAACACAATAAAATTTCACGGCATTGGTGGATGGTAGTTGTCCGTGACCCGGACTGAATTTCGGTCTTCCTCCCACCTATGGTATCGAACCTTCGATCCGTTGATTATAAGCCATACATTGCTACCATTAGACTAAAAAAGATTGTCTGGTGGTATGCGTAGCTGACTTCCGATCAGGACTTCTGATCTACCACCAATGATAATTCTATATATATTATATAATATAATTATAAATACAAAGTTAAGAAACTGTTAGTTATAATGTACTTGTATATTTCTTCTAGGGACTTGGATACCTTTATTCATCTCCTGAAAGGTTCACTCGGCAGCGGCATATTGGCTATGCCGATGGCGTTCATGAACGCTGGCTTGTATTTTGGATTGGTGTCGACTTTCCTCATCGGTGGAATTTGTACATACTGTGTGCATATTCTCGTTAAAACGGCCCACGAGCTGTGTAGAAGGATGCAGAAACCATCTCTGGGCTTTGCGGAAACAGCGGAAGCTGCATTTCTTTCTGGACCTCCAGCTGTACACAAATTTTCTCGACTCGCCAAGTACGTTTAAATTTAGTTTATGCAACATTTTTGCTTACAATATTAGGGAGTAAAGAATGAAATATCACAAGCTTTTTATGGATCTCAATAATATTATACCTTCTTCTTCAGGGCTATGATTAACTGGTTCCTGGTGATTGATTTACTGGGTTGCTGCTGCGTTTATATAGTATTCGTGGCAAAGAACGTGAAACAAGTTGTGGACTTCCATACACAAGACACCGAATGGCATGACATCAACATCAGAGTATACATGGCGGTGCTCCTTCCCCTCTTGATTTCGATGAACTTGATTAGAAACCTGAAATACTTGGCTCCATTATCGATGATTGCAAATCTGCTTGTCGGAACTGGGATGGGAATAACATTCTACTATCTTTTCCAAGACATCCCACCGTTGAGCGAGAGGAAACCGTTTGCCGGGGTTGAACGGCTTCCCACCTTTTTCGGTACCGCCATTTTTGCTTTGGAAGGAATCGGTGTTGTAATGCCTCTTGAAAACAACATGAAGACACCCACTCACTTCATCGGCTGTCCTGGAGTACTTAATACTGGCATGTTCTTTGTCGTGTCGTTGTACGCTTTGACCGGGTTCTTCGGTTACCTGAAGTATGGGGATAACACCTTCGGAAGTATCACTCTAAACTTGCCAGAATACGAAGTGTAAGTACCTCTATGTAAATAATGTATAGTCAATAGATAGTAAATTCAAGGCCTTATTTAATTGTATGCTAATATCACATACATTTTTATAAAATTAATTAGTATTAAGGATGATGTAATATCATTGTTTTAACATTTTCTGTACTGGCAAACATATTAGTGGCAACTCGAAGTAGATTTTTGAACACTCGTATATTTCTTTTTCTTTTTTCAGGTTGGGACAGTGTGTAAAATTAATGATTGCTGTGGCCATTTTCTTCACGTACAGTCTTCAGTTCTACGTACCGATGGAAATTATCTGGAAAAATGTTCGCCACAGGTTCGGGGCTAAGAAAAACATTGCTGAGTACACAATCCGAATTGCAATTATTATTATGACCCTTGGTATTGCGATCGCTATCCCAAATCTGGGACCCTTTATATCTCTTGTTGGTGCCGTGTGCCTTTCTTTCTTGGGATTAATATTCCCAGCTGTAATCGAGACTGTTACATACTGGGACCGGCCTAATGGTTTAGGCAGATTTAACTGGGTCCTGTGGAAAAATTTATTCCTCGTTTCCTTCGGTATACTGGGCTTCCTCACTGGTTCCTATGTCAGCATTTTAGATATAATCTCAGGAGAAGAGTAACACCAACAAGACTAAACCAGTTCAAGGCTCAAGTAAAAATCGTTAGGGCTAAACTATTTTTATTCTTTTGCTTATTCATTTTTATATAACTGTATTTTAATATTAGCTGTTTCTGCGCAATGGCGCGTGTTTACATATTATATTATGTAGTTGTAATATTCTGCCATCTCATTTTAGAGAAGTGGAATATTAAAAGGGTCATATTGTTATTAAAATATGCCGTTCAAAGATTTAAGCCAATTTTGGTTTGTTAAAAATTTACACATGAGACAGACTTGCGAATTAATTACCATAAGGATAAAGAATTCCTTATCACTGTTGAGTTTCTGTAGTGTTCAAATATCATTGTTTGAGATTAGTATTACGTTACTTTCCTAAATGAAATTGATAACGCAGGTAGTATTTTCAAATATTTTTAGCCCCGAATCTCTGTAGCCAGCTACATAGATGTAAGCCAACTGTAGATACATTAAAATGTTTGATGAAATGTGTGAGAAATTTTCTAGTGCATTATTGAAATGTGATAAATTATTAGTATAAGAGGGCATACAGTAGTATGTATAAAAATAATTGAAAAATAAGGTCGTTTGGAAAACGTTGACAATATCAATAGAATTAGACTGCTTACTAACGATTGTAGGTTACTTGCTTTGTTTGATTACTTCTAAATTTCGCAGTGTGAAAATAGTTACTACTATGTAACTACGAAATAGTCAATGGCATTTCTGTAACCAAAAAATTACGTTTGATAGTTTGCTAAGTTGATAGAAATGTTTCTACTGCATCGTTGCATTACATAAATTACTTTCAAAGAATATGCTATTCTAAAAAGTAATTTTATTTTTTTAACCATTGTGTGTATACTGAATGTTTTGCTTCAGAAATCTAAAGGTAATACTGCACTCCATTCACTGAAACCATAGAAAAATACTTGAAAATAAATTAGGCTTCTCATGTAACTCAGTGGATGTATTTTATATGGAGAGTTATTTTTAAAAGAACACGAAAGGGCACGAGTCTCATCAGTTGAGCAAATTGTAAACGTCGCTTAATAAACTCCTATTATTTGCAGTTAAAAAAAAAAATCTTTTATACACGAAGAACAGAATGAAGCTCTATTCAGACTACCCTTTAATATTATGATAAGTTTTTAACAAAAAATTTAATTATACCCACATCGACATTACTCACAGGTAACGTACAGCCAAACAGAAATAAACGAAAGACAAAAGGCAAATTAAATTTAAATTTCGAAAATCCAGTTATAAACTTTATACGCGATTGTATTACAGCGTAGTCTAAAAAGGGCGTAACTGTATTCAATTTTATTATAGACTTCGAAAACAATCTTTTTAGATATTATTCTGTTCTTCCTCTTAATTCTTGTTTTTACTGGTATCCTAAGTTAATAAGTAAGAATAGTCCTCGCGACGTTAAAGTGTTATAAGATTTAAGTCTAATCAATAGTTAATCAAGTAATAGTACTCTTTCAAGTTATTTTTGTGTAAAGCTTTTTATTGGAACTATTTCGATTTAACGCACAACGCTTTTTGAAGCGAATTTTTGTCAAATGTTCAGAAACCGGTATATTTCCTAAGCATTATTGACGCAACATTTTATTATACGTAGTTTGTATTAAGTTACGAGAATGTTCCTTTTAACATATAGCTAGTAGAAAACTCGTGTTGTCTTTTGTTAAAATTAGTATTAAAGGTAGTATTTCAACTGAAAATACACTTTGATAATAGTAAAACAATAAGACGCGTTTCTTAGGCCCTTTTGCCTTCAGAATGTTGATCTGAAACAAATACGGACATTTCTCACACTTGAAACAATCTGAAACGGGTAGGGCTTCAATGTCAACCCAACCAAAACGTCAATTCAAATTAAAAGTGCACTATTTTCGTAAAAACTTTTATTAAAGTTATTTTGTATGGAAAATATAGGTTTTCTTAATGAAAGGAAATCATTCCTATTGACATTTAGATATTAAGTATGTATAGGTCAGTTTACAACGCCGTCCTGGTTGTTAACAGGGAACGGTGATTGTTCTATCGCAGTATTAAAATAAATGTTTTAAGGGAAAAACTTGTTTTACATTTTTAGATAGAATTCCTTACCCTTTATAATGAATATTTTGTCCTTTTACAAATCGCACTCCATAGTAGTGCGCAAAGAAAAATGGATTCGATTTCAAACAAAAATCTTAGTTAAATATATTATAACTTTTCTTACTAATTTTTCATAATAAGGTATAAACTATTGCTTTTAACTTCTATTATAAAATAAGAAATTCACAAAGGAACAATATATTATTGCAATTCCATTTTATTTTTTAGTAATTTGAATATTATCGATATAGAAAGCGACATAAATGAAAAAACACAATTACGACAAATTATTTTTTTCTCATATTATCTACTCAAGTCTAAAAGGCAGTAAATGCAAAACGATGTGAGTGAATCCGTGAACTACTTAAATCTTTACGTTGGCAACACTGTATGCACTATGCATAGACGTATACCAGCAGCTCGTTATGCTTCTATTCACCAGTTTCAAATACAATCTGTTAGTTTTATGTACCTATCTGTGGTAGTGCAGGCAAACCAATTTTTCCTTGACATCTGTGCCATCAATTTGCATTAATTTAAATAGAATTTTGTAGTACGCATTGTATCTGCGAAATATATATTATGATAACGTACATAGCGTTATTTTCATATAAGTATAATACCCATTATACTCTTTAGAATTCATAATATGGCCCTAACAACCTTTACGTCAACATAGTAATACTCAATGAAGTAAATACCAAAAGACCAAAAGTTTTATTTTACAATGAGATACTGGAAGCTGTTTAAGAATTTATTTGTCATGGTTTTAATCGTTAGTGTAATGTGGTTATTATTATCATGGAGCAGTGTGGAACTATTAAGGTAAATACTTCTTATATTACGTTCTGTAACGATAGTGAAGAAAGATGCGTTGTTCATATTTTGTTAAAAATCTTTGATAATTCTTAGAAGTATATTCTACCTTCATCTAAAAAGCGTTTTGATCTACAGCTTAGCATCAATGGATCCAAGAAGTATTTCAATATCAGTAAAAAACAAGTTATGCCATGTAAATTATATCGACGAGAGACTCTACATTAATAACAGTACAGATTTAAAAATTATTTACTTCGTTACACCAACATACCCAAGACCAGAACAAGTCCCTGAATTGACAAGGCTTGCGCACACACTTATGCATGTACCTAGACTGCATTGGATAGTAGCTGATGATCAACCAATTTGTTCGGAAGAGGTTTCCAATATTTTGAGGTGAATAACTTTTAACTATATATATATATACTTTTAACTATATTAATAAATCTCAAGAGGCTTTGACTGTTTAATTTTTTTCATTTACTGGTCCCCGTTACACAGTGGATTCTGCCAATAGATTGTTCTATCACCTTACTAGGATCATAGAGGTTACTAGGCTGGTAAATAAAATTAGAGAGAATTCTTGAGGGCTAGGTTAAGGGGCATTGTAAAAAGCACTGAGGTTGTCACGCTGTAAATTTGGGAAGCCTTGTTCTAGAGGGTAGCTTGTATGATTGTTGTTATATTAATGGATGTTTGACTTATTAAAATAATTAATTTTAATTATATATTTCAGGCGAACTGGTCTTCCATATACACATATATCTAGTCCAAAGCCATTTATATACAAAGGAACAAATTTTCCAAGAGGTGTAGCCAATAGGCGAGCTGCGCTGACTTGGCTGCAGGAAAATGTTAATGATGGGGTGTTGTATTTTGGTGATGATGACAATACTGTGGATTTACAACTTTTTGATGAAATAAGGCTGACAAAAAAAGTGTCCATGTTCCCTGTTGGGCTCATCGGTGACTATGGCGTTTCTTCACCTGTAGTTAAGGAAGGAAAGGTATTATGATTATTCAAATATCTTATTTATTTATAGCTTTTAAAGTAAGAGATAAGTTTAAAAAAATGATGTGTAATAATGTAACAGTTGTATCTGTAATTATAAAGCCTTATTGGTCTAAATTCTTAAAAACTAGAAATACATATTTAATCTGGATTGGGTTTAGACTATGGTTAGGTAAGCCTTCCTCTATCCCTCATTTCCATCCTCCTCTTTCAAAGATGTTTCTATATAATTTAAAAATGGAAAATAAATTGAAAAAAAATTTACGACTCGGGCAGGACTTGAACCGGCATCGTCAGCTTTCCGTGCTGTTGCTCTACCAATTGAGCTACCGAGTCCTACACCTCATCGTCGAATTTTTTCTCATTTAAATTATCATTCACTTAATCTATAAGAGATGGTTCAAAATACACAAAGTCAATAAAAGGTTAAAATGTACATATTTTTAATTGCATTTGTTTCAGGTGGTTGGATTTTTTGATTCATGGCCTGGATCGAGATTGTTTGCTGTTGACATGGCTGGATTTGCTGTAAATATAGAGTTTCTGAAACCCTCCGCCAATATGCCATACATAGCTGGACATGAAGAAGATAGGTTCTTGGTTAGTTTAGGTTTAAAAATGGAAGATATTGAACCTTTAGCGGCTAATTGTTCCAAAATTCTCGTCTGGCATACAAAGACTGTTAAATACAAGAAACCGACATTGAGACTCGATATAAAAAAAATAGATAGTGTTGCTGCGTATAAAAATTTTGCCAGCCTTCTCAAAGAGACAAACAGGCTAGGTATGGCCAGTATTAGTGAAAATAATGGAACTAAACCATTTCTAACTAGGAACCGAAAGTCATTTGAAACTATAACCGGTTTGAAGTAATAACACATTTTTATTCTGCTTTACCAAAGCTTATCTACGTACAATATGCATCAAAACACCTAATGATCTTAACTATAAAATAAATATTCCCGGTACCAATATTTTATTTTTAAAATTACTAATGTTATTATATTGAAGATGAATAATTCTCCAGTTTTCTATACATATGGAACAAATTGTTGTGTGAGAAATACACTCATGCATGATACAAACACATCATGCATGTATGTATTTTTAAATATCATAATAATAATTATATTATTTTTTAACTTAGTTGATAGAACTCTTTACTCCAGTGAGAAGTATTTGTTGTTGTGAATATTATTTGAATCTCTAGTTAGACTTTGATAGTCATTAGTTTTTGTTGTGCTTTAAAAAAGCTAAGTTTATTGTTTTTTAATAATTCTTGCTCCAGATTAAGTTTCTTGAGTTTGTACAAAAAATTATCTGCGAATTATACACTTACTGGGCCATGGACATTACCAGTCAATAACAGTTGTTAACATTACTTTTTGTCTTTCAGACCTCATATTGTATGGCTAGTTTAAAACAAATGAACTTAGTTATTGTTTTGTTTTTCAAATACAGTGTCACCAGAAGCTTTTCTGAGGTCTAGTCTTAGTTATAACCAAACAATCTATTATGTTTATAAATAAAATATTCGGCTATTTAATATCAATTTAATTGCTTATAACGACACGCAAAATATTAATTTCCTACGAATTATAAGAACACAAATGACATGGTTTTGCCTGTAAGTGTATTTATTTAATGCTGAGTCCTTTAGTTCCTACAATTCACTTAAAGATGATACTTTCTTGTAGTAAAGTAAAAGCATCTTATATATTAATCTCTTGGCTTAAATGCATTGCCTATTTATATATTTCTAGCATAAGTGATGTTATTTGAATCTCTCGGAAAAGTTATTTTGGTTTTGTAGTTAGTATAAAGAAAAGATTTATGTTGCCGTCTATTTATAACCTGGATTAAATTGTTAAAAGTGATATTATAATATGCTGTAATAGCTGTAAGTAGATATGAATCTTTCCAATGTTCCTGCGCCATTAACATGATAAAAAAAACTATCAATAGCATAAAGCTACACCACATTTATAAGCATATTTTAATTGTTAAGAAATCTGTTCTGTTGTTCATAGAAATAAACAATACTGTAGATAGAACAAAAATTGTAAATTTATTCTTATTTATGACTCTTAACCGCCTGTTCAGAGATATGAAAAACTCATAAATTGTTATCAAGTTAATGTAATGAAATTTCTTTACAGACATTCTTTTTGGTTTGTGTAGATGAAATATCTTTTTTTTAATAACTTCTATGATATTCCTACATTACATACACATTATGGTGTGTATGATATTGAAGATCTTACGGTTTGTGAACAATTTTTCGAAGTGCTTTTTTGTTTTCAGGTATGTGATATATGTTTAGCAGCTAGGGGCAGAGTTGCCTAACTGCAATTTTCAAAACACTAGTTATTTTTATTTTCATAGTCTTAACAATGTTAACTAGAGCACAGTGTCCGAAAATTGGTAAAATAATTTCTACACAAATACGTTAATTACGCATTTTTATTGTCCTCCTCATTGAAATCATATTTTTTAATAATAGGCCACTCTGCTTTAGAATCCTAGTTACTTGCTGAATACCATATAAATAAAATTATGTCTAGAATTAGGGGGACCTATGCCATTTAAAACATACGCAGTAGAATATGGGCCAAGTATTTAATAAGACTTAAAAAAATATAATTCGTGCAACAATGAGGGTGGTGTGTTCTGCCTATACATGAATTACTAATTTTTAACAATAAATTAGTACAACACTACTTAGTCCAATATTCAAATATAAAACCAATATTCACATATAAAAATGTTTTTAAATATGTGTGTTATGAAATAAAACAAAGTATTATATGCAGTTTGTATATTTAACATATTTCGTTTGCCAGTAAACAACCGAGCATTCCACAGTGATAACAATAAATCACCAGTTATCATTTAAACGTTATAATTCTTAAAAAATAATAGGTAGGTATACTTCTATAAGATATTTATTTAAGTAACTTCTCAATATAGCTGTGGAATAAGATTGTACAATTTGGCTCAGAACCGTTATATGACTCGTTATATGAAGTGCATTTTAATATCCTTTTGCCTCCAGAGCCTAGTCTCCACAAAGTTGAACTGACCAATAAGTTATGGGCCCAGTCAATAAAATATATCTATTTAAAAGTGTAAACTGGGGAAAAGGTTCATAAAATGTAGTAACCAGGTTGTTTATACTATAAATTAACATAGCCACCTATTATGGAATCAATAAAAATACCAACATTTATGAACAAAGATAGAAGACAGAGAATTATAAAGTTGAAAAAAATGGAATCAAATCTTGTTAGAGTCAACATCAACAACATTAATGGTATCAACATGAATGCATTGGAGAAGATGTACAAATATTTAAGTAATAAAGACATTATTTTATATGATGAGATATCCATGATCTTATCTTCCTTCTCTTCTCGACATGGCCAGAGTAACATCCTCGGTTTTTGTAATCAATGTATATTTTAACATTGTGCATGAAGTGTACCAGTGCAATATATATCCATAAACAACAAAGTAAGGGGGTTTTTAATATCCATCGCATACGGAGACCCCCAGTCTCTTCAAAATATAGAACCTTCTAACAGGTTATGGATCCAAACAATAAAGATATCTCTATGTTTCTTTAACTTCATCACAAGAATCAATAAAAATTACACCCGTTAACGAATCCAGTTTTGTAGAGGAGCATATTTTGTTGGACTTTATATATATAAACCATAATTATATAGGTAAGTGGCTGGCAACACTTGAATTGGAAAGATATTTTGATTGTTCTCTATTTGAAATTTACAAGATATTGTTTTATGGTATAAAATTAATTACTTCTCTCGACACGCTGAGTGAAACATGTTAGAGTTTTTGTATTGAGTAATGTATATTCCAAGTTAAAGAGTAAAGTAAAATAAATATATATATCTACAAAGAATGTAGTGAGTGGTTTTAATATATCCCTCCGCCTCCAGAGCTCAGCTTCCACGAAATTATAGATAACCTACCAACAGGTTATGGCCCCAGGCTCTTAAAGGAAAAATATACATGTAAAAGTGTCTTTTTTAGTCTATTGTATTGTTGTTTTTTTTATTTAAAGGTCAGGTTTTTATTTAGGGAAAATGAAAAGGGATTGTCAAGTAGTTTTAAATATTTTATTTGGAATTTGGTTTGAACAAGATCATTTTAAGGTGATGTAATATAATTATAAGTATTATGTTAAGCGGTCGAGAAGAGTTTAAGATACTGAAATGGGTGATATAATGAAGTTTTAATGTCTTATAATTTTAGGTTTGGTCAAAGGAGATACAGGTGCTGAAGTATATGGTAGTGTTTGAGATGATGTGGTTGCTGGTATAGTAGAGGTTTGTGTATTGCGTAGTTATATATGTAGAGTGTCGAGTAGGAGTTATTATGTAGAGGTTCGAGTAGGAGTTATATGTGTAGAGGTTCGAGTAGGAGTTATATGTGTAGAGGTTCGAGTAGGAGTTATATGTTTAGAGGTTCGAGTAGGAGTAGTAGATGTGTGTAGTAAGTTGGAAGTAAGATATGGTAGTTGTTAAATGTAATGTAATAGTTAAGTTTGAAAGTAGTTTGTTGGTGGGTTTAGTTAGGGATATCATTTTATTGTGGGGTAGTTCAGTTTCGGTATGCTAAATTAAATAATAAGCAATGTTAAATATGTTCAAGTGTTGAGGGGGTGTGTTGGAGGTTATATATATTGATACTGGCTGGCAACACTTGAATTCGGTTTTAAAATGTTCTATTCTATGTTTATTTGAATTCCCAGGATATTGCTTTATGACTAAAAATCAAGGACTTCTCTTCTCGACACGCCGGACGAAACACGTCGGGGTTTTTGTACATATTTATTATACAAAATTATATCAACAGTGCAAATAAATAAATATATGTGAAAGTTTAAGTGCATGCGTTTTCGTAAATATCCCTGCTCCGCCCTCCCACGAGCCGAAGCTTCCACGAGGGAATATAGTGATATTCCAACAGAAGTGGACATTTCGAGAAGGTGTTATTAAAAAAGTGGACGTTTCGAGAAGGTGATATTAAAGAAGTTGACGTTCGAATAGGTGATATTCGAGATGTTTGAGAGTAGATGATGTTCGAGGTATTGATATTAGAGAGAAAACAGTAGATCGCGTAGAGTAGCAGTTTAGGTACTGTTAGAGGTTATATATATTGATACTGGCTGGCAACACTTGAATTAGGTTTTAAAATGTTCTATTCTATGTTTATTTGAATTCCCAGGATATTGCTTTATGACTAGAAAACAAGGACTTCTCTTCTCGACACGCCGGACGAAACACGTCGGGGTTTTTGTACATATTTATTATACAAAATTATATCAACAGTGCAAATAAATATATGTGAAAGTTTAAGTGGGTGTGTTTTCTTAAATATCTTCGGCTACCAGGAGCCGAAGCTTCCACACGGAGGAACTATAATACTATTTCAACAACCGAAATTGCCAAGGCGAACGGGAGAATAAAACCAACCGGTCTATATGTTTTTTCTTTACCTCATATCAATGTGGGCATCAACATTTGAAATGCTAAAGGTACTACTTGTAAAATTATACAAAAGGCCAATATAATAAATACCTAGGCCACTTAATAAATGTTGTGAATCGGTTAATACTTTACGACTCTGGTAGTTGTTGATATTGCAAGCTGCATGCATAATAACTGCTGTCTCCTAATTCTCAGGCACTCATCAATAGAAGTAGCACTCTTAGCTTCATGAATAAACAATTTGACAGTCACCTAAAAAAGAAAAATAATTATCAAACTTGAAGCATGATTAATTCAGAAGTCCCTATAAGATCTATGGGTTGTGTTAGCGAAATCTCAAGTTAATAATCATCTCTCAAATTAATATTGAGCAATCCTGAAGGGTCTTTAAAAATCTGATGTATGGCCTGAAGCAAGTGTGCCTAAAGAACTTTTCTACAATATGATATCCGATTTAGAACCTATCAAATCCATAAGTAATATGACCTGAACAACTACTGCAAATAATTCAATGGAATTATCAAAATTTCTAACTTTTTCGATGTTTACAGTAAAACTAAAACTTGGTTTTGCCTTGTGCCTGCGCATCTCAACTCTTACTATACATTTCTTTTCCTCTCCCTTTCCCTTCTTTTGACATTTCTGCACTTCTATTAAATTCTATTCATACTTTATTAAATTAATCAGATATAAAACGTTCTTTAGTGTGGGATAGTGGAATAAGTGTTACAGCATTTCTTCTCATCCAATAAATTTGTAACATATTCTACCATCGTCTTCACTTCTGGTAAACAATTATACTATAGGATGTTAACTTTTCTTCTTCACTTTTACTGCCATTTTTTGTTTATTAATTTGTTTTTCAAAAATCCAATTGATTATCATTCATACTGCTTACACCACAATTCTAAGTTTATATATTTTACTGGTACCTTTTCAGGCTGTAAGATGTATAGGTATCATGCTGAATTTCCATTACTCATACTTGTATTTCCTCCTTTTCTACCATTATTATGTTCTATGCAAGGAAAGCGTGCTTCCATTGCTTAGAGAAAGAGAATTCGCTTCTATAACTTATTAATTCACATAACTTCAAAATATATTATTTTTAATAACATCTTCAGCAAAACAACAAATAATTTTCCATTTTAGTCATTATATACCTACTAACTGACATAGCTTGAGAACATAAATGTTTAAATTATTATTCTTAATTGTTTTGTATAGACTGACAGACTGTAGAGATCTTATAATATTACGGTATATGAAATTATAAGATCGAATATCTCGTATAATCTGTGTCTCAACAGTATCGTAATCGTAAAAGCAGTATTAATCTGTATTTCCCAACTAAAGATGTTTTTTTTTGTTGCTTCTAATGTCATGTCTGTGGACAAGCGCGTACTGTGTGTATATTCTGTAACCGAGCATTGGTTTAAAGACCTCGTTACCTGTCCATCAAATCTTGTTTAAAAAATGACCTGAGCAATGGGCATTGGCAATTGCGATTCGAGTAATTCGCGTTTGAAGTATGAACTTCGTAGGACGCTAACAATAATATGTTAGCGTAAATAATTGTATGTGATTATTATCGATATTGCCGACTGGCGCAGAATATTAAAATCGATGGATAATGTTTGAAGTGTATACACCTGCAGTCAAGTAATTAATTGTAAGTATGTAGTTCGGTGAAACCATTACTTTAAATTTGAAATTATTTCTAAGGAGCGTTGTTTACTTTTTATTATTAATGTTTGTGAAGGCTACCCTTATTTCATTTTTAATTCAAATTTTGTTGGTTACACTATTCATTGTTGAAGTTATTTATTTGCAATAATATAAACTATAATAATTACGATTTTAAGGGAACTAAATATATAAGAATGAGGTAATTCACGTAGCCTTAGTCCACAAATTTGTAATGTATTTTATATAATTTGGTTTCTGCACCAAATATTACATATTATCGTGTAAGATACAATCCATTTTTTGGTATTTATTTAGTATTAAATAAAAATCGCACAATAATTCCTTTTTCAATAATAAAAATAACAATTTTTCGAAAAGTATAATTTTTGTCTTGTTTAACATACCTTTATGAAGATTTATTTTACCTGTGTACAATTTTTTTGATTGTCATGCTGACTAAAAAAAAATTAATTTCCATTCTTTAAGTGTACTAAAATAAATTTTAAGAGGGACTTTTGAAAATTGAAGTAGCTAATAAAAATAGTAGCCTCTAGTTTTTTGTTTATTTTTTCTTGGTATTAACTTTACCTCATAGAAAATGTAAAGTTTGTCTTTTATTATTAACTTTAATATAATTATTGGGACTAACTATATTTAATTTTTTAAAATTGTGAATTATCACAAAAATAAAAGTATATCTTTTATTCTATAACTATAGATAATTAATTTGTTATGCTTAGTCTTCTTAAAAGATTAAGATATTTTTATAGATATCATATTAAGGTTTATGAATTAGGTAGCAGTAAATACTCTTTATCATTTTAACAGATAAAATATTTAAGTAAATAAAAAGGGATTAAAAAAGAAAAGATAGGTTTCCATCCATTAGGATATGGGCCCGACCCATCTTGAAGACAATTTTTTTTATGATGTTCAGTGTAATTCATGAAATATGCATAAATGATATATTTTGTTTTACAGCAACAATGAGGTCTTCGCGGTGGCTTCGATGTCGCCCCTTCTCAAATCGTTTTCTAATCGTCTCACTTTTGGCTATTGCATTCGGTTTATACTGCTGCTACTACAATGTATCTACAACATCATTCTCTAAACAAGGTAAGTGCATTTTAGGGGGTTATATGAGGAGAGGGACTCTTCCCCTCTAGAAATTAGACAGTATATATAAAAGAACATTGAGAAAATTTGAGACAATGAAAATATTTCTTTAAACAAAACTGCTATTCACAAAATTTGAATACCATTGCTACACCCTGAAATTAAACTGAGCCTGTAGCTTGGCTGTGTTGATTGAATAGTAGCAATGTATGTAGTATGTAGCACTGTAACCATCAATTCAATCTTCACTAGGGCCAATATAATTTTAAATCCCTTTTATATTTTTCCTAAAAAAGTTCTGATTAGAAAATGATGGGTCATAGAAATATAGAAATCTTTCTTTAATCTATTCTTTCTTTTCTTCACACTTTTTACATGGGAGCACCGCGAAGTGTAAAAACAGACATGACATCCACAGAGCGCTTCCGTTTAAGTCTGGCTGGGCTGGCGCATTTCACATTTCATGTAGGGAATTCCGGGCGTGTCTCTCCTGTTCATTTTTTATTAACCGACGTTTAATTTGCATTTAAAACAGTTAAAACTGTTTATTAAACGTCTACTATTCGCGTAAACTTTAAACAAATTATTTAATTTTTTCAATTTAATTATATGTATTGTTTTTATAAATGTATTTTTCTTACAAACTGTGTACAATGCAACATAATTGTATGGAGTACAACATACGTGTATATAGTATAAGGCATATCAAGTTGACGTTATAAATATCGTTTACATTTACACCCTAATTCTTCGAAAATAACGACATAATTGAAAACCGTTGAAGTGCAAACAAGGTGTTATACTGACACGAATTCGCGGAAAACTTTTTAATCGTATCGAACCTTCTCGGTTAGAACATATTTAAAACTGAAAATGGTTGCGTGTTTAACACCTCTTCCACACCTGTTCGTGAACAATATGTATGACAAGGTACAGTCATGTAGATAAATTGTTTACCATTTTAAAGTTCATAATTGGACACAACCAATAATTTATAGAACATTGACTCCAGAATTTAAAATTGGATCAAATTTTTATAATAATCCATTACATTTGAAAACTTTTATATTTTCACACGTCATTGCACGTGATGACACGAAATTAAACATCGATTTTAGATTGAAAAGATTTTACGACACGGGCAGGACTTAAAATCAGCATCCACAGCGTTCCTTGCTGTTGCTCTCCTAACCGCTTGTGCTACCGTGTCACAGTAGGTTTTTCAAAATAAAATCGATTTTTAATCTTTACATGGATTAAAATTGAGTATCCTCAAACTTAACTTTGGTATTTTCTATGTAAAAGACATTGTCGTTAAATTTTCATGATTACTATCATTCTTTGTGAATTATGGTCTCAGTAATGGAAATTCCTGAATTTGTAGAGAAAAATGAAGACAAGAATTACTAATATTCCATTTATTTGATGTAAACTATTATTATAATTCATCATTTATACAATATATAACGAGATGTCTGAATGATTTTAGAGAAAGACCATAAAACAGACAGTTCTTTCTATTTCAGACATTCGATTACTGGATTAGTATCATAAAAAGACGGAAAGTAGAGATAGGCACGTGCGCGGGTAGTGATTTGATTTTCAAATGTTTGTCAAGTGACCTAGTTACGATAAAACTTACTAATATGAAATGATTTTGGTTTTGAGGAGTATTCGTAAACATTGTTAAATTGGCTGATTATTGTTATTGTTGTCTATTACAAAAGTGAATTATCAAATTTGGAACGGAGTCTTTTTTTCAAATTCAACTTGAACTTTTCCCTTGTTTCATTTCTAATCTCTACGAAAAATATGTTTAGCATTGATTGCTAGACGGTAATTGGAACGCAATAAAACTACATAAAAAAGTAGTTGATTGTTTTCGCAATTAAAAGTCACTATGCACAAGCTATTGCCCGCGACTTCGTGTCTATCAGACACCGATATTTTGGAACGAATTGTGTTGTAAATAATATGAATGCTCTCTCCACTTAATCAACTATATCCTGAAAAATAAGAGATTTATAATCAGACAGTGATAAAAGTTACAACGGTACATATTCAACCTCTACAAAAGTCCTCAAAATTTTCCTCGCCACTCAAACAGCCGCGCTGCGCAATATACTTCGTACCAGCATAGAAAGTGGTTTTAATTTTCCCGTTAAAGCAATACCCTATACGGTCGCTATGCGATAAAAGTGAAAAGAGATCGGTGTTGTTTTTCTATGAAATAACTTTTTGAATTTATGCGAACAGCGAGGTCTATTTCAAATGTTCAAAGCTAAAATGGCGACAAACCTAGTACCGAGTTATTGCATGTACTTCTTGTTAACTGGATGGCAATATACTATTTCTTTAATAGGCTTGTTGGACATTTGCCCCGTGCACATGAAATTATTGATATTTTTATTTCGTTATTACCAAAATCCTCCTTAACAGCTAGTTATTAATAGGTAAGTTATATACTGCAATTTTACAGTTGGTACTTATATTCCTACGGAAAAACTATAGTCTCTCCTTATTATTCTCTGCTCTTTAACGGTCATTTTGTTTTCAGTGACATTACAAGTATAGTACGATAATTGTGTGTACTTATAATCGTCGTATTTACAGCGATGTTCCTATAAGTACGTAACGACTATGCTTAAGGAGATTCGGATTATCACTTAAATCTGATTAACATAACATGTCTGTAATACATTTATTATTTACCAATCACATGTAATTACAGGCAGTATTTTCAGAACCGCTCGAGTGTTGAATTTAACAAAAAATATGTCGGTTACTTAGAAGGAAAATTGAACAATTTGTTACACAAATTATACTACCTAAAATATACGAGTCGGTAGATTATGCCATTATCGCATTTGGCATTAAAATAAAAAGTTAAAGGTTATCCATCTTGATATTTTTTAAGTTCCAAAGATAACCCCACGTGTAGGAAATTTGCAAATTTTCAAATATAGACAGTACGAAAGTTAATTAAAAAGATTGTGACGTAACGTAACGTGAACTTTTCAAAGGACTAGAGTTGCCAAAATTAAATATATTATAGCTTTATTTTTTGGCTTAGTTGAAGAATAAGAGAAAGGTTTTTTAAATACATTTTATGTACTAATTACTAAAAAGTTTAAATAATAAATATCCAAGTGAACTTAAAAAGTAACTTAGATCTTTTATTTGCTTATTGGTTTCGCACTTTTAGAAGCGATACGTTCAAAATGTTTGGTATATATTATAAAGATTAGATTAGAGTTTATCAACTTCTTCAGCTTTAGGGTCCATATAATATTATTTGGCCGTGAAACTCTTGGAATTGAGTAATAGTATGAATACTCCTAGAATATATTATGAAACATGGCAGATAAGAAACGTTTTTAAAGAATGTTTGAGGAAATGACAATGTGGTATTAAAGTAGGCAGCGTAAGCGACATTTTTAATTACTTTGGCTTCAGTTAATGTTCTTTGTTACGTCTCTTACAATCTGAACGAGAACGATAAACTATTATGCTTGAAATATTACATCATTCGCTGTGAAAATACTTGTTATTTTGAATACCTCGTGAAAGTTTGGAAATAAAGTAAAAATAATACAATTTTCAGATGGAAATTTTACAGGCATAGTGCTTCTTTTTTGTACTACTCTCCAGTCCGTTATATTTCTAGCGGTCAATATATTAACAGATTTAGTTTACCCTACGAAATAAGATAATGAACGAATATATAAATGAGATTATCTACCACGAAAGATTTGTTCTTTTATCTAAATAGAGATTTTGGAGGTATTGTTAATTGTTCAAGTTTAAAGAAAATTCAACAGTCTCGAACCAACGATCACTACGTACCCCGTTGCTTTATCAAGGTGACGCGGTGGTTCATTTGTACTATTATTTATTTATATAAGACATTGACAGGTGAAAATTTTAAAAATACACTTTTAGGTTAGGTTATATATATGTAACGCACATTTCACACACTTGAATAATTATTCATATTCTGTACGGTAATGTTATTGACATAACGAATTGTTGAAATATATTAAATGAGAAATTAAATAAGTACATCGTTTACATATTAATCTGATCTCATTGTTCTTACGTATTTAAGTGTTTTATTAAAAGTATGTTTGTTACATTAAGCTATTAACTGTAAAAAAAAACTCTAAATTCAATCATACGATTATATTTAAAATTATTATCGTAGCGCCCATGTTAAATTCTTTTTAAACTTAATTTATGAGTTATAGATAACTTAGATTAATTTTAAACAAATTACTTGTAATCACTTAAAGCTTGCATAATTGTTATTTATCTTTAATATGTTCGTTGACGTACAAGTGCAGCGATTAACCCCAACCTGTCTGTAATTTATTAAGTGATAATATTGAAATATACACTATGTTGAATCCGTTAAAATAATTATGTATATTTTATAAAATATAATCGAAATATACCTTCCGCTTCACTAAAATCAGAATCTATTGAAACTGTTTACATCAACATTTGCATGCGTGGCTAATATTACGTAAAACTGTACTAAAAACAACGATTCTCTACTGTATAAACAAATGATTGATTGTTAATAAACGGTGTAATTTCGTTATTATTTGTAGTGCTAGAGAAAATAACTAAAAAGCTATTGTTCTGTTTTCTATGGCTCACAATGCACATAAATTTAAATTTAAGAATTCTTATTGCTAGTGACCACGGAGCTAAATTGCGATGCACTTGTCGCAGCGTGCGAGCATAATGGACAATTTGATGACTAACAGAACTTTGACGGAATAGTTGAGAACGATCTCTTGACGACTCGAAGTCAAACATTACTTCCGGTTCTGAGTCCTTCAACCCGTTGCAGAGTTGAATTGTTTGAAGCGAGTTCATCTATTGCCATTTATTGATCCAAATCCATTAATCAGTCCTACACGTATGAGTAGAATCTTATGATGGTCTTAAAATGTGAAATCCCCTTGATTGACCTGTTTCAATCATCCATTTTAGATACAGAGAAATATTTTATTACTTCTTTTTATTTCTTTATTATTATTACTCTTCTTCTCTCTTCTTATTCTCTGTTACTTTCTTTTATTTATACTTCTGTTTTCAACACTGTTATGAATACTATTTAACAAACCACAAAGATGGTCACTTACAGCCGACGTTTTTTTGTTAGAGAATTTTGAATTTAGAATTACCACCCTTTCAGAGCGTTCAGACAAAATCTCTGCGGCTTGTATTAGCGTACGAGTATACGGGTTATATTTTATAACGGGATATATAAATTGAAATATAGATTGTAATTAAAATGAGTTATGTCCCAAAGGTACCTTGACATATTATGAGCGCATTGATTGACTACGTAAAAGGCCATGGGAAAGCAGACGTACCGCGTAGGTAATAGTTATTATATACTTTATGTTCTGTGAAAACTGTACTGTAAAAATCTCTCTGAGACATTGTTTAGAAGCGTATATAGAGTTGATATATGTATATGCAGTATTCGATAAAAAAAAATTCTGTATAAGTATTTCTATTCCGAATAGCGTGGAAAAACTGTATGGTTGATATGGAAAGAGCCACAGAAAATTTTATTTTATCCCTGTATCTGCGGTTTTTAGCAATAGGTTTGGCTCGGCTTAGGTCGACATAGGCTGTGTTTAATTGAACTCAGATAATAGAGAAAAAAGCTTCAGTCATTTGAAAAAAATGTATTCACCGTAAAGAATAAAACCGAATTAAAGCGTATATAACAAATGTAAATAGAAAAATGTAGTATTTTGATTTTGGATTTTAATGATAGTTAGCTAAAGTCAACACGAGACGAAGATGCGATTAGGGAATAAATGTATGTTTGTCTTATTTTATTTTTACTATCTTTTAAATGATACTCTATAGAAAATGGAAGTTCTATAAGATTAGAATTTGATTTAAAGGCCAATACTGTAGTTTCCCTTCATCAAAGACGTGCATGATATATTTACATTAATTTGAAACTGTAGTTGAAATCGATATAGAATCCTCTTAGTACACAGTCAACTGTATAAAGCTTTGGCGTATACAAAGCGTTATTAAAAGCGACATCGCATACCACATTTGAATGTACATATTCAAGGCGTTCTAATTTCGCTTACACAAAACGTGTAAAGAAAGACGAGATGTTGAAATATTAATGAAAATGATTATACGATATATAATAGTGCACACGAGAAACTGAATTGCAATGGAATGCGTAATTGTTTAGATAAAAAAACTACCAAGTAATTACTATTATTGAGGGTCCCAGTGTCAGTGAGAGAGACCTAAATCTGCAGATAAAGCCTGATAATCCTGATAAAAGATTTTTTCGACCTAGATTTTTACCACCTGAACTATATAATAGTTCAATGGTTAAACGCATTTACTAGCATTGATATCAGAAGTAACAAATCAGATTAAAACAAAGAATCATGTATATTCATTTTGTCAAAACTTGCGAGACATACTCACGGTTTTTATAACGAAATTAACCAGATTTTTCACGTTCTATTCGCAAAATTTGATGAACAAGGAAAATAATGTTCCGTATGTTGTTATGATAAAAACAATTTTTGTAGAGTCAATACATACTCGTTATTCTCATTGATGTGTGAGTTAGTTTGTTTGCATTGTGTCATACTTAAACATGTGTGCGTTATTCGATAATCCGTAGCGATGTCTTCGGAGACGTTGTGGAAATAATTACAGAAATTAGTATTGATTATTGGTTCATTCCTCGTGTTCTTCATTGTTAGAATCGCAGTTTATCTACACACAATAACGAGAATACGTATTGTCTATTAGTGTCCTAATTTACACTTGCGGTTCAACCGACTTTGATGTAATGAAAAACCTAGTCTAAAAATATTTACTCGTAAAGATACGTGGAAAAATTGGCGATATTTTCAGTAAACATAAATAGTAAAATATTATACAGTTATATACACAGAACGATAATATTTTCCTGCTAAAGTAACACACGACGCGAGCTCAGTGCTAGCGAATATTAAACGCATCATACAAAGCTTTTGAGTGGAGTTTTCCTTTTATTCCATTCGGAGCTCGCACTACATTCCTATGTAAGGCACTAAATAACGTAACGGACAAAAAAATCACCACGACAGGGATAGTCGCACTGCGCTATTGTATATCTAACTCTACTTATATAGAACTAGCTGTGCCACTGACTTTGGTATAGGTCTAAGAGAGACGGACGTAGGTATATTGTGGAGGACATTTTTTTAGATCATTTAAAGAGAAATTATTCTGTCCCGTGTGTCTGTACATATTTTTTGGATATCTTGAATCGTTTTCGCAACGAACGCAACGGAAACCCTTAAAGAAATATGAACCAGTATTTTCTGAGATAGGTGCGTTCAATGAAACAGACAAGCATACTCTTCAGGTTTCTTTAGATAGAAAGAGATATTACAAAAAATTGAATGGGAGTTCAACATGATCGTTAAAAACTTCGTTGGTCTAGTCTTTAGTCTAGTCCTTTAGTTCGGCAAGTCGCGACATCGTTTCTCGGTATTGCACTATTTACAATGTTTCTTTTGACACGTACTCTCTGGTAACGGTAAACATAAAAAGAAGACCGCAATGTCTAAAGCCAAAATAAGTGCACGGCGCATCTTTTTAGACGTTAAATGACTTAGGCATTTTACCTTCCATTAAGTGAACTCCGTGCATGTCTGTTCTCTTCTATATCAAAAAAAAGTTATATTTTTTGAACTTTAGTACTGGCTACTATTTTTACGTATTTAATAAGTAAAAATCAATACACTAATAAAAAATAAGTAAAAAAGATTTATTTGAGTAGAAAACACCTGAAGAATCAATTCTCTAGTTATACATATTACCACTATAAACAATTACCCTTTTTATTTCAAATTTTGTCTTTTCATTAAGAACGCATACACTTAACAATAGAATTATATTATAGTTTACACAATAACATCCTCTAATGTATCGGTACATATAAGTAAGTACTAAACCTACATAGTACAACTACATCGACTACTGCCATTAGGACGCAATGTACCGCAAATCTAGCATTGAGTGGAAATTAACACTAATTAGTAATTACTGTTGGGGCATTTATGTTTACAATGCAATTACTAGAGATGCACCAAATTTTGGTTAATTAGTGAAATATGGACTCCAGTTTAGAACTAAAATAATAATATCCAAGATTGCAAGAAAATTAGGTCATTATATCATTATTTATTTAGGTTAGTTAGTGGACGCTAAAGGCGTAGAACTAAAAGCTTTTCAAAATTCACTTAATCATTTATCAATAGCAATTTCAGCCGGATTTTCAATGTACAACTGAATTTCAGTTTCGACTTCTCACCGAATTCTTATCGCTATTAATTACTTAGGATATTGGGTAGGATATATAAATATAGTGTATACTACGCGCTTCCATTGACCCCTTCGGTCCAATGGTAGCAATGTTTGTCTAATATGGGGTTCGATTCCGGGTCGAACACATTTCTCAATCACTAACTGGAAAATCTGGGACTACAAGGGTGTTAGAACTATTGAAAATCCGTCGGGGTCACGAACCATTCTCTACAGATGGAAGTGTATTAGTCTGTTGATTTCCAAATATCCAAACTGTAAAATAGGTTGCACAATTTAATTACATTTTACCCAACAAGACCCATTACTGCCTGGCCTTTGTCACAAAAAACCATAGATACAACTTCTAAATAGTAAATTTCCGAGAAATATGATGTAATATTTTGATTACTATTGGGTAATAAAGTATACACGTCCAACTGTCTTAAAAGTTTATTTTATTTTCAGGTAATAATAACGCGAACGAAAGGGTTATTGCACTAAAGCACATCCGCGCACCGGAGTCAGTAAAAGTAAGCATTCAATTAATTTTCTGCCTTTAACTTTGATAACATTCGTTTGTATATTATATATAATATAATATAACTAATTCAGTATACTTGTACAGATACGGTACGACGTTTTTAGCTTCAAATGAATTGAAATTGTCCATTATTTTTCTGTTTCTATTCTGATCATTATTACGTAATTATCCAGTAATTTTAATAATGCATATATTTCTGTCAAATGCACCAGGCTTATTAGTTATCTCCGCCAAGCCAAAACTCGGAGATTCAAAAAATTATTATAATAGAGAAGATGTTTTCACAACTTTTGTACATTACGAATTCTCGAACTATCACCATAGGTAAGCCAAGATACTTGAATGAAAGAGTATGTTATTAAAAGGGTTTTCAATTTCAGATGGAACAATGTCCGGTCGTACGAGAGAGCGTAGCTGAGGTCGATACGGTTTCCGTTTTTCCGACATTCGAGTTTCAGGTGAGTTTCGAAAGTCTAATACAATTTTAAATAAAGTTCGATACGATACGTTGTATAAGTTTAATGTGTTTTGTTTTATAGAGACAGGAGTTTAGTATGTTATACTATACGAATACTTGACTGTAAGTCATGCGCTAGAATATCAGGTCGTCTAAATACATTTTAGTTTTTTATAGGTAGTAGATGGTAAATTTTATTAAACCCTACTACTCGTGTGGTGGGAGACCTGTACCCTACGTTGAAGGATGGTACAGAACCGAATTGATAGAAAGATAATCTTTTATTTCAATTTATATTATTTTTATAATATTTGGAAAACTTAACAGCTAACAAAAATTAATAATTTAGTAACAGGAAGTGTAGAACAGTGAAGCTTAGAGAAGTTTTATAATTAAATAAGATCTTTATGTATTTGTATATGTATACAGTAAAAGTTAGAAGTTTTATAAAAAAACGATACAATGCTACAAGTTTGGGTGCAAAGTTCAACCAGAATCGTCAAAAAAGAGCTATTAGGTAATGCCTAGTTTGTGTCTACTAGTGAGTGTCACAGGTCATCGATCTTTGACATGCATCTCATTCCTTATATCTCAGAGATGGGGTCTTTTTGTCCTTGTTCAACGCATTGCGTTAAATTTTGCTGAATTAACTTTTTTCTTCTCTACCAAGTTCAGTTAAAAATTGTATATTACAAGTATATAAACCATTTGAAACGATATTTTTGAAAATTGATCATAAAAGGGCTTTTTGATTTAATACAGTTAAAAAGGCATTAATTTAAATAGCATTAAAGTCATATAAAAGCAAGTTGGAAATAATAACAAAATTCAGTACCATTAATTAGAGTCACCGCTTGGCCAAGCTAAAGCGAAATGTGAAAAGGGAAAAGCATCCACTTATTGCCTCGATGTAAGCAGAGCGAATTTATTTCCCACAGAAGCAAAATGTGTACTTGACACAGTGTATTATAATTATAATTAGAAAGCCAAACTGTTGGTTATTAAATTATGTTATAATTTAAAAAATATACCTCCATAAGTAAATATGGGGATACATATTATAAAGGTTGTTTAATATCCAAATCTCTTAAAAATATATGTTGCTTATGATCGCAGTTCAGACCGATATGTGGAAGATGAAATACACCAGCCACTGATATCTAAGCAAGATGTGCTGTCGGCCTATTTTGCACATTCAGATTGTGTATCATTTCAACATATTAATATTTTTCTCGAAATTTGGATACGAATGGGTTGTAGGAATATCGAAATACCGTAAGGGTGGTGAACCACCGTCAACAGATGATAAAGGCGTCAAGTTTAATGGCGTGTCAGTCTGTGGATTTCCGAATATCCAAAGCTAAAATAGGTCGCCATCTTGTTTAAATGTTATGGCTAGGGTATTTCACCTAATATCAAGTCCCGAGTGTACTTTAATAGAAAAATATCCTAGTATTCTTTTCTATTCAGGTTATGTATATATAAACTTTTGTGAGAGAGATAAATCTCAAAATAAACAAAAGTAAAAAAACTTCAGTTAAGAATTACATATTATTTACTCTCAACAAACAAACATTCAACGTTCGTTTCGTTTTATTATTTACCTAACAAAAAGTGAAGTACGGTAACGACCTCACCTGCCCCTCGCCGCTTTCTGTAGGGACAGTTCTCATTGAGTCTCTTTAAAATGTATGAGGCTGTTATTGGATTAGGTAGAATCTCCGAGTATTTATGGAAAACGAATGAAAATTGTTTATTTAAGAGCAAAAGATTACTGCAGAATCTCATTACGTTTTGAGAGAATCGTTTCAACGTATGGCTCCACTGCTGGGCACTGTTCTCTTCTTGCATGGAGAGTTCTAAGACTCAATACGCCTTTACGTGCTCTCAAAATCCGGTGATGACACCTCCTACTTCAATACCTTGTGCTGGTATTAAATAATAATTTTAAAAAAATACCCAGGACCTCGTAATCTGCAGTCGACTGCACTAACCAGTGGACTAACATAACAGTTGTTCAGAAATACAGTAAAAGACAAATCTATTCACATTTAAAGAAAAATACGAGACGGGTCTAGAACTGGGAACCACAGCGTTGCGTAAGCAATTAAACAAAAATATAAAAGTTTCCCTATTTTTAACTTGTGTTTTAATTTGTATGTAATTTTTTTTTTTTGAGTTTATTATTTCTGTGATTTTTTTACAGCCAAACTGGCTTCGCACAAAAGAATTTTGGGATCGAAGTTTTGAAGAGCGTTATGAGAAAACTAAAAACGACAGCCGGCGGCCGAAGTTGAAGGTGAGGTATATTCATTATCCAATATGTTGTATATGACCGCCTCTGTAGCTAAATGGTAATACGGGTTCTGGATTCGAATCCCGGGAAACAATAGACTGTTTCGGACGAGCAGGGCACAGAGGTGATGAATTATTTGCCTGTGAATAAAACCGTTGAGTGAAACGGACACAGAGATGCGATCACACCATACCCCACGGGGGTAATAGGATTAAACTTATGTTATATTATACTTGTATTAAATATGATTTCCTTTGTGTCTCTGAATACATCTTTTATTGAACTAATTTAGTTAGCCTTACAGGAAATTACATAAAAACATAGCGTAGGATTCTGGTTTAGCGGTATCTAGTGAATGTTTATATTTGCTCAGTATGTTAGTTAAAATTGTTTCACGCTAAGGAAAGGATCACATCTACAAAACACGCTTCTCTATCTGATCTCGGAACGTGTTGAAGCCGGGATCGTAAGTGAAGTGTTACCTGATAAAGATAATTGTATTATGGGAGCACTTCAGTCTCGTGTAGGATCTCTTTAGCCCTGCACTCGACGTTCCCCGTCCTTTATTCAATTTCCAACCCCGCTATCGCTTCTGGCAACCTCAAAGAGTTTATATTTCCTACCAGTTGAAAATAATTACATCAATGTTCCTGCCTTGAAACAATATTTCCGAATAATGTTTCTAGCGTGTTAGTTATTTATTGGTATATGAATCTGTTAGTACCATCTAATCCAAATCGTCCAATATTTACACCTTAAATGGCATAGAAATGTTTTTATTTTTGAATTGTTTTGATTTTCCTATTAGTTTTTAATATTGTTTACTATAAAATGTCTCAAAACTGATTAATTTAAACCAAGATGAAAATCAATCATTATTTTTATTTCAATAGTTTGAAAAATTTTAAAATCTTTACGTTGTTAAGTTTAATCGTAGTTATTTTGTGTTAGTTTATCAGCCAATTGCAACTATCGTCGACTTGAAGGGGATTGGCACATTTTTAAAATGACCTCGTATAATTTAATATAACATCTACAATAATTAAATTATTGAGTTATTAACCTTAATCGCAGCTTTAAATGTACGTTTTTTTATAATTGGCAAGGTGTTTTGATTTGCACACCTATACCTATTCATTGGTTCAATCGTTCAATGCTAGCAATGACTGATAATGAACGGGACGTGGGTTCGAGTTCCATCAGGTCCAACATATTTCTCAATTTCATAGCAATAACAAAAGTCGATCTGGGTCATGATTCATGAACTGTCGTTCGCAGACTGAAAATTTTAATCACGAACCGTGATTACAGGTTTCAATTGTTATCTAAAATATTCAACAACCCATTTACACAAGATAGACCTATAGGCTAATAGCCCATCTGAGCTATTAGCCTATATGTTATATATCCCTTTTTTCAATTGTATATCGATCTCTTTCTTAAAAATACATCGGTCCTAATATTGTAACCTTTTGAAAAATATGTTGTTCGTTTTTGTCGTTAGACACGAACTTATATCATATACCAATACTATTCTTATATGGCCATAAAAGTTTTCTTTATGTCTTTTATATAGGTAATCGTGGTGCCACACTCTCACAACGATCCCGGCTGGTTAAAGACTTTCGAACAGTACTTCGAAACGAAAACCAAGAATATAATCAACAACATTGTGATGAAGCTCAACCAATACCCGAATATGACGTTCATATGGACCGAGATATCTTTCTTGAACGCCTGGTGGGAACGGTCGCACCCGGTGAAGCAGAAGGTACGTTTCTCTTCATAGCAACGATTATTTCTTACAGCCGTTCAAAATAAAATACTTTAACTATTAAAAAGCAAAAATATTAGTTAAATTATCTTAACTAACGGACGTTTCGGACGCTTTGAAGCAGCCGTGGTCTAACTAATATTTTAAGTTTTTCAAGCCGGTTCAAGTCCTGCCTGAGTCGAAAATCTTTACAATTTATTTTCGAATTTTAAATTGATGTATGCATTGTTTGAAGTTTACGTGGGGTATGTAGGACATGAAACGTTTTAAACGGTTTAAATTCGGAATATATTGGTTGATTAATTTTCAGCTACTGTTGTAGATTCGGATCCTTTATAGTGGGACGAAAATAACTGATATATTTATACTTTTAACACCCTTAATACTAGTTTTAAAATTTTAAACTCCTTGCAACTATTTTTTTTTTGTATTAGAAATTGTTTATACAGCATAACGTTTGCCGGATCTTAGGTGCACAATAGGCGACTTATTCCCTTAAAATGTAGTCACAGGATCGTTGTATTTTTATCACTATTAGCAGGATTGCAACACTAAAGTGCATTGTGCGTTCGTGGGAAATGAGATGGCGTCACTGACATTTAGAATTTTTACAATGATTATTGTCACTGCGCTATTGTTACGCGTGTGAAAGTTTCTCCATTTATATCGGCACTGTTGAATTGCAGGCGCTAAAAAAATTGGTCAGGGAAGGAAGACTAGAGATCACAACCGGAGGCTGGGTGATGCCGGATGAAGCCTGTACACATATCTATTCGCTCATCGATCAATTCATTGAAGGTAAATTACACCTTTTGTTATTACCACAATAGGTCGCATACATACAACACATCTTGTTGAGATGTTTTGTATAATATTCATTTTTCTAAATGTTTTTCATTATTAAAGGTCACGTGTGGGTGAAGGCGAACCTCGGAGTCACACCGAAAATTGGTTGGTCCATCGATCCCTTTGGCCACGGAGCGACGGTGCCTTACTTACTCGACCAGAGTGGTCTCGAAGGCGCTATTATACAGAGGATACACTACGCCTGGAAGCAGTGGTTTGCGCAGCGGCAAATAGAAGAGTTCCACTGGATGCCTGGCTTCTCCTCCACTAAGCCGTCGCTCGTCGTCCACAACCAACCCTTCGATATCTACTCCATTAAATCCACGTGCGGGCCCCATCCAGCTATTTGCCTCAGTTTCGACTTCAGAAAGATACCTGGGGAGTACTCAGAATACACAGCAAAGCACGAAGACATCACCGAACATAACCTGCACAGTAAATCCAAAACTCTCATGGAAGAATACGACCGTATAGGAACCCTCACGAAACACAACGTGGTGTTGGTGCCGTTAGGTGACGACTTCAGATATGAGTACGGCATAGAATTTGACGCTCAATACGTGAACTATATGAAAATGTTCACATACATCAATCAGCACAAGGATCTCTTCAACGCGGAAGTCACCTTCGGTACGCCGATTGACTACTTCAATGCGGTCAAAGACAGAAGCGCCAACATACCTACACTGCGTGGTGATTTCTTCGTATACTCCGATATCTTCAGCGAAGGCAAACCCGCGTACTGGTCCGGCTATTACACCACGAGACCGTACATAAAAATTGTGGCTCGTCAGTTCGAACATCAGCTGCGAACGGCGGAGATACTTTTTACGTTAGTGTCAAACTACTTACGCCAATCGAATAAGCATATGTTCGAATCATCAGAGCGTAAACTTGAAAAGTACTACGAGCAATTGATCTCGGCGAGACGGAATTTGGGCTTATTTCAACACCACGACGCGATTACTGGTACCTCGCGAGCGAGCGTCATGTACGATTATGGTACTAAACTATTTACAAGCTTATACCATTGCATACGCTTACAAGAAGCCGCCATAACAACCTTGATGATACCAGACAGCAAACTGCACACCCAAAGCATTCTACAGAGCGAATTGGAATGGGAAACATACGGCAAACAACCAAAGAAATTACAAGTTTCAATTGTAGACAAGAAAACAATTGTCCTCTTTAACCCCCTCGCTGAAAGAAGAACGGAAGTAATAACACTGCGATCGAACACTACAAACGTCCGCGTATACGATACGTATAATAAAAACTATGTGAAGTACCAAATTACACCCAATATCCACGTGCAGGAGAATGGAAAATTCGCTATCAGCGATGTTAACTTTGACATAAGCTTCGTCGCTCAATTGAACGCTTTCAGTATTGTAACATACAAGCTAGAAGAATATACAAACCATACACAACATTGTACGGTATTTTGTAACAATTGCACAGAACAGAAGGGAGATTCGGAGAAACCAAACAACTTCGTCATTAAGAAAATGATGCCAGGCAATATTCAACTGGAGAACAATATTATGAAGCTACTGGTAGACCGCAACACCGGCTTCCTAAGACAGATATACAGGAAGGATATCCGCAAGAAGAACATTGTTGACATTCAATTTGGTGCTTACCAAAGTGCGCAGAGGCACTCCGGTGCTTATTTGTTTATGCCGGATTACGATCCGCCCGAAAAGGACGTCCTGGGCCCATATTCGAAGGGGAACAATCAGGACGAAAACGTAATTATAGTGTCCGGGCCCGTATCGACTGAAATAACAACAATGTACTTGCCATTCCTAGTTCACACCCTGAGAATATATAACGTCGATGATCCCGCTCTGTCTCATGGGATCTACGTTGAAAACATCGTCGATTTCGAAAATCCGCCAAAGAACCGCGACACCGAATTTTACATGCGACTCCAGACGAACATACAAAACGGCGACACGCCCGAATTTTATACCGATCAAAACGGATTCCAGTATCAAAGGAGGGTGAAAGTAGATAAACTGGGAATCGAAGCGAACTACTACCCCATAACTACTATGGCCTGGATACAAGACTCTGAAACTAGGTTAACGTTGCTAACGAATCACGCGCAGGGCGCCGCAGCGTTTGAACCGGGACGACTTGAAGTGATGCTGGACCGGCGGACTCTATATGACGACTTCAGAGGAATCGGTGAAGGTGTTGTCGACAATAAACCGACAGTATTCACAAACTGGCTACTACTAGAACCCATCAACGAAAGAGCTAAAGCGGACGCGAATAGCCGCGTCTCAAGACATTTTAACGAGAGACGGTTTAACACAGACACTGCCCCAATTTACGAACTACCCTCACGAACTGCGGACTTCTTGAGCAGATCTCTCAACTACCCCGTTAACACCTACATCGTAGACACGAGCGAGGTTGGTGATGTTGAAGTGAAATCGAATCAAGAGTTTCTAGAAAATTTCCCCCCTGGCATTCACGTTTTATCGCTGCGCACGATAACTGATGAAGTATTAGAACAATTTCCAAGTAGTTCCTGTTTTATGATACTGCATAGGCCGGGCGTTAGTTGCGATATTCAGGACGGTATGCCTAAACCGACCGCGTCGTTCACAAGTAATTCTAAATTTATCGGACTCAATATAAATGATATTGCTTCGGTCAGTCTAACTGGTCTCAAAACGTATGGGAATCTGACTAGTTTAGCAAACATCACCTTAAATCCAATGGAGGTTAAGACATATAGAGTTCGGTTTTAAAAACTGGTTCTATAACTAGAACGTACAATTTGTATTGGTGTCTAATGATTTAAGAATACTTTTAAAAACCATGACGCATTTATTGGACAAGAAACCAATTGTATTAAGAAAACATTTGTATATTGACATAAGATCGACATAGATTACCTGTAGGCTGTTTTAACATTGACTAAGAGACGTTCGCCATTATATTTAAGCTAAGTACTAATAAGGTGGTTTAGCTACATTTTCATTAAAAATCATAATAATTATTCAATAAGTGCTTGCTGAGATATGCTTGCTTTTCTTTTGTGCACTATTTTTAGTATGTCTATCACAATGTCTGGACTTACTAGAAGAATCTACCTCAGGACCAAATAGCGTAACTATAAAAAAGGATTCGAAATCTTAATAATTTATTATGTAGCGATAATTTACAGGTTGCATATTTCATAGGCGGGGGCGTACTCAGGGTCTGGTCAAACGAGGTTAGGGGGGGGGGAGTCAGATTTTTTATAACATTTGACTGTATTTGATGATCTTTTGTTTCTACTTTGGAACAACTCCAGGATCATCAAAAAATTGTTAAAGACGCAATCTTTTTGCATTTAGTCACGTTTTCACGTTTGTATGATTACGAATTGCGATCCCAGTGACTGGGTACGTCCATATAAGCATAATATATTTACTGCAACTTTTTGATGCCTTTATTCTAGTTGTGATGTAAGTACAATCTTATAGTTAGTTGTTCTGGATCTCAGTTACTCTTTCTTGTGAATTTTCTTTTTTTTACATTAAGCAACGACCATGAAACATCAATTACTTTTTGTTGTTGAGTTTTTAAATATTTATTCTTATCATTGAATGATAACGTATCCGTGGACTTCTGTATTAGTTAAATTTAAGCCACTAAACAGATTGTAGACTGACATATTTATTGTATTATGTATTAATTCGTAGATAATGTAATTACTTTAATTTTATCTTTATTTACTTAAAACTAAATCTCCCGGGATTTAAAAGAAGTTTTTTTAGATAATAAGACAGTTTCACGTGCATACTATTGAAATCTTCTCTTGAACATCCCTTTTAAAATTTATATTTGGATTAAATTTTGTTTATTTAACTAATAAATAATGTGTGTTTAGTGTATATACATGCCTTTGTATAAAATAGAGGTAAATTAAACATAAGTACAATTTTTAGTCAATAGATATGTAAGGTAACAAAATAAATAAGAAGTATTTAAAAATTACTTTATTCCCATTGTTATTAAACCGAAAATAATTATCAATTAAATCATTTGTGATAACAGTAATTATCCTTTTCGAAATGTTAATAGCACTTTTATTGTTTATATAGAAATATACATTATGTTTCTAATAAATATAATTTATATCAAGAAAGAGCATACGTGAATAATAATAATCATTTCGAAGGCAGGAATTTGGAGAGAGACATATACTTATTACTAGCAACTAATAAGGAAATACACAATAGAATTGCTATTATCAAATCGTGTTAACGACGTTATTTTATTCTAGGATCGGTTGTATTTAGCACATAATAATAATAACGATACATGTACAATATTTCAAAATAATTAATAAACCATACTTAACAACGTAAATTCAATAAAAAGCTTACTTTTATTTTATAACCTTTTTAGTTATGTCAAATGGGTTATATTACACGACCATCAATTTAAATTCTGTAAATTTTATTTAACAACGTAAGTTCATTAAAAGCTTAGTTTTTGATAACCTTTTTAGTTATGGATATGGATGATATTAGGAGCGTCACAATTTAAATTCTATAAGCCGTACGTAACAAGGTAAGTTTAATTAAAAGCTTAGTTAAAAAAAAAGGTTACAAAATAAGAATAACCTCTCTATATCAAATAGAAATTATTACGACAGTCATATGGTAGCCTAAACAAAAATTTCAAAGTATGCGCTAGTACACCTTAAGAATTAAATTAAACTGGTGTTGCTGGTGTCTTTTGTCATTTTTTCTTGATCCTACTGGCTATCCATTCTAAACCAAGGTGTAATCTGAAATATAATGGAAAAGGTTTTAACAGAGTCACTAGTCCCAAAGTGCTGCATATAAAATACTTAATTCAATTATAGTCGGAAATTTTTACTGTAAAGTTAGCTTTTGTCCCCCCCTGCTTTAAATTTAAAATGTGATTAAAAAGTGATCTTTTTGTTAAAAAAAAGAAATAGTTCTCTTTACATTTAATAACAACGATATTAACGTTATAAGTTATTAAAGTAGATAATTATTGGTCTCTTGCATATTTGACAAAATCATTAACAAATCTTTGTGGTTTTCTGATTGTAGTGCAAAGAACTCCCTATTAATGGTTAATCAAATTTAATACCGGTAAAAAAATTATTAAAAATGTGTGGTTTAAAATGTATATGTATAAAAAACTACAAACCCTTCTCCAGTTAGCGCACAGCATGCCTGAATGTGCCAGGGATGTTGTTTTATTGATGTCAAATCTAACTGTTCTGATATTTCAGCAGCTGTCATAGACCCTTTCACATCCTAAAAATAAAATGACGTAAACCATGCTAATAAAATTACAATTTACTAATATTGACAGGTGTAACGCCCAGTACTCCTGCACATTAGCAAAATAAAACATGTGCAAGCTAGTTTACACAAGTGTTATCAAGATGCAAAACAATGGACCAGTGAATTTGCATAACAAGTGCTTTAAGAATTATATTTAATCTTCAACAATGATAAAAACATATTTTATAAAAAAAGAAGAGAATCCTGATGGCCATTGGAAAACCAATTTTATTCAATCGGCACTGACCTGTTTATTAGCAAATACAAGGAGACAAGCCTTGCTTAGTTCTTCATGCGTCAGCATACTGTGTAGCTCATCTCTGCAGATATTCAATCTCTGACGGTCCGTTGAATCAATTACCATTATGACAAACTATAAAAAGAAAATTATGTTGTTAAAATTCTATAGTAGAACTAATGAAAAGGTAATAACAATTTGTAGAATGGAACAAATTATTCAGTAGTCAATGTGCAATATAACTTGTTAGTGTAAGTAGGAAAAGAGGTATGATCTTGGGTTATATTCTGAGAGAACTACTACAAAGACACTTAGATGCTCTACATTGATATGAAACAGTTACTACTAACAATATATTTTTTACCATCAATCATTACAGGCATATCAATAAAACATTGACATATATCATATAATTCTATAAACTTATACACATCTTTGCACTGCTCCGCTGACAGAGACAGCTCATAGTATAAATTAAAAAGCATTTTTATTGCAAAATTGCCACACATTCGCTCAATTGGTAGCACAGATGGCTAAGATGTAAAACCTGCCTGTTTTATACCAAACTAATTTTTCAATTGACGCAGAGCTTTAAAGTCTTCATAGTTGTGTTAAACATTTTAGATTGGTAATAATAATTAGATAATGCTTGCTTAATGCTAAAGTATAAACCATTTCATTAGTAAATCACCACACTTTATTGTGTAAACCTAATACAGTAAAGTGCGGCTGGAATTGAGAAACTCAACTTTTAATTATACCAAAATTAATAACTATTATAACCAGCGACCATAAATAAAAGTTTACTTAAGTAGACAATATACACTGTATATATACCTCACTATTTGTATAGTAAGTATTCCAAGCAGAACGTAAACTTTGTTGTCCTCCCAGGTCCCATATCACAAAGCGTAGATTCTTCCATACTACCTCTTCTACATTTGATCCAATCGTAGGCCGTGTATGAACTGCTTCGCCAAGTAGTAACTGATACAGTATTGTTGTTTTGCCAGCATTATCCAGGCCAACTAACATCAACTTATGTTCTGGAGAATTATGACAACTACTTAATTATATTAAATAAACAAAAATCTTCAGAGAAAAGATATCACATGTGAACTATAAATAAATCTTGTTTAAGACCATGCTGATATGATATATTTAAACAGTGAGTTATCTAATCAACTCATATGCCATTATTAAATTACAATGAACTTACCATCATTACCAAATAAACTCCAGATTTTCGATATAAGAAGACCCATGATTTACTTTCAAGATACGTGTTTACATGACTAACACAATACGCGCTAATAAAAATTACACTATAAATATGATTTGTCCAAAATTACGAATAAAAGTCTGCCTTCTCAAGCAAACAACACATGTTACGCAGAGGCCACAGCACAAGATTAAATATAAGGGCTCATTAGGAGTTACGTTAATTTGTATAAAAGTAGGTCAAAAAATCTCTTACAAAATTTATTTGTAAGACATTAAGTAAAACTATTAAAAACAATAACGGTTATAAAACCAATTTGGTAAAATATTTATGTGAAAATATATTTGAAATTGAAAATTGTTGATGATAAAGTACAATACTTTCTACTATAGAATCTACAAATCTACGCACACTAAGAAACTACGAGTCTACGACCAATCAATCACAGATATAATAAAGAATGTAGCCATAGATTAAAAAACCAAAGAATATAAACTAAACGAATGTAAATGATACAATGTTAGAAATACTGAGACAATGTTACCAGATATTTTTAATAATATTTTATGGCTTGGTAACGGGTCATTTAAACCAAAAAAATAATAATATCAGAGACGAGTTAATAAAGACTTTTTATTATATGACCATGGACTTTCTTTCAGCCAGAATCTTCATACTATTACATTTCAAAGTTTATGTAGGCAAATAAGTAAATATATTCTTAATAGTAACACATTTATTCCAAGGTGCTGCCAGATATTTATAAATAAATATGCAATATACAATGACAATGGTCAGCACATAACTCATAAACTTTTCCTTGTATTCTTTATAATTTATTATTCTTGACGAATTTTACATTAAGCAATTGATATTGCAGTAGAAATATCCAATAGCTACAATAAATAACAAGTATTGGCATAAAATAAATTTATTTTGTGCTGTAATATTATTTTTTTATTATATAATACTAAAACTCGAGATTTGTTACTCATCAAGTTGTTTCAAAAACAACTTTTAATGACATCAGTTCCATTGGAGGCAAGTTGTTCACGTTTATATCAAAAATAGGAACTCCTTTAGTGGTTCCTACTAAATTTGTGTGAAAAACCTGCTTAACGTGTTGTATAATTCTCTCAATATAGAAACTTTCATCATCTTTACAATAAAGATTATTATGGACAAAAAATTTACATGTAAAACTTTTTCTATGCAGCGTAATAATAGCTGTATCCAGCACGTTCTTAAAACCGAGTCCTTTTCTTAAAATCATTCGAAAGCTTAAAACACACACATCACACGGAAAAGACCCTCTAATCAGTGGCAGAAATACATAATAAGGCATGTCAATATAATTTTTGTCAACGAAGAATATGTCTAAGGGAAATAGTAGGCTATTCGCTATCCGATTAGCTAATAAACTAGGTAATACAATTTGCTCGTTTAACGTTTTATCAAAAGATATATCTTCTTTTGCAAAGTTTTCTAACAACATGTAGTGAATGTGATTATAAGGACTGTTGTCAGATAAACCTTCATTAACTCCGCGTTTGTCATTAAACAATATTCTCCTATCCAGCATAATAAGTATTTGTCCCTCTTGTAAGGCAGTTACACCTTGTGCCCGATCAGTAATGATTGTAAGTCTCGTCTTGTCGTCTTGTATAAAGGCCATACTTGTCATTGGATACATATTGGCCTCTACTTTACGAGAAATGTTTAATTTTCTTGATGTTACCCGAAAGCCGTTATTGTCTAAATATAGTATCGGTGATTTACCATTTTCGATACATGTTTGAATGGTCATAAACATTTCTAGATCTCTATTTTTTGGAGCAACTCCAAAATTAAGATTGCTCTCGATACGAACAACTCCTGCCAAAGGATTATTCATTTCATTGCATATTCTTACAGTATGCTTTAAAAGATTTCCGTATATCGATGTATATTCAGTTACAACGTTACCCGATACAATAATTAACATTTTCCTTTTACTGTCCGCCCTATATTCTTTCAATATATCTTGAAAACGCTGAGCACTTGTACTAAAGAGGTATATGCCAGCGTTGATGTCAGAACTTTTAAATGCTCCGTAATTGATGACAAGTTGTCTTTCGTCATTGGTTTCTTTTTCGATAATAGTTTTTAGTAATCCATCAACTTCATCAAATATGAGACGAACATTGTAGTTTTCGATTTGTACATCGCCTGGTTCAATTGGTTGCACGGTGAAAGGATTGTTAACCGCACTATCCATAACACAAGCTAAACAGAAAATAATAGACGTACTTAATGATACGTCAAAGGCTTCTTTGAATTGAAATAGTTTCAATGTCATGGGGGGTACTTTTACAGCAAATATGATTTTGAAAAATTGACTGCTAATTCGAATAACATTATCAGCTGAACTATACTTCCAAACAGGATTTATTTGAAAATTTATGTCCTTTTTATTATAATCAATTACTCTCGTATTCACGTGTCTAGTCAACAGCTCGACGATCTCAGTTACTTCATGATTTAATGAATTAAATACATATATTTTATCTCCCGGTTCAATACACTTGAACGAAGATATGAATTCACCATCTCTGTAAACGTACTTCGTAAGGTACTTTTCACTATGCTCAGGCTTAGTGCTAAGTAAACTCGCTGTTACTTCTTGGATGTACCAACAATCTTTAACAGCTATAAGTATTTGGTTTTGTACATAACTTAACATTTTGCTCGACAAAGTTCCACTTATCACATTTCGATCTTGAAGCCGAGCAACAATTTCCCTCGCATTTGTGAGTTTAGTTATTAGCTGTGTTTTATTAGTGGTCCGAAATGCAGTACAACTCGATGTAAACGAAAATAAGAATTCTGTGGAACGAAGGGTAGCTTGAAGTCGTCTCAATAAGAGCTTTAATGAAGGCCTTGTGGTGAAAAAGCCCGTCCAATATACCGGCCGCGTTTTGTCAATTTCTGCATAATTTAAAAAGTCCCCACTAAGTGTGGGATAAGATTTGTGCCTAGCCATTATTGCTGTAAAATAGTCCGTGGGCGTTCCGAACTGCACTGTTGCTTTGTAAATGTTTTGATTGACATTTATAAAATTTGCTATGTTTAAATAATTATTATATTGATAGTCGAATTCTGTCTGAGATACATAATGAAGTGGACCACCTACGGGTGCAATAATAATATTATGTGGAGACAACGTTCCGGTTTTAGAATATTGCTCTAATAATGTCTCGGCTTTATTTTTAACGTTATACTCATTGATATCGATGATTTTATTTGCGAAGTTAAATTCTACCTCACATACTTTCCCATATGGGCCACAAGCTTTGAAACTATCCGAATTGTATTGTAGGTAATGCGTCAATACAGCGTGCTTCGGGTATTGGTCGTTGCCTATTTTATTTAAGGCTTGATTTAAATCAGTTCGAGTAGTTTTATCACTATCCCAATTCTGGACCCAGATGAAATCGCTGTACTGATATTCAGCGAAGTATTGCTCCAGAGAAAAGTGTACATTGGTCATGACCAAATTTGTTATTCCTATTGCTGATAAAATGTAGGTGACCGTTGGGCTATGTGTTACACTATTCGTAATCCACGCTACTTCAGGCGTATAGTTTAAATATTGATCCAACCATTGATGTCCTAAAAAAAATATGGATTAATATTTTTGATATTGTCAGTATGAGGTATTCAAATAATTAAACCAACAATCTGACCTTCAATAAATTGATGCAAAATACCATATAAGCTCGACATGGCTTCATCTGTTTCAACCCATCCGCCTGTTGTGATTTCAAGCCTTCCTTCCCTAATAAGACGACGTAGAGTCTAGCACAAAGAAAATTATTCTATAGATCTCTACATATCTCCGTAAAAATTATTAGGTTATTTTTAGAAAAGGTACTAACAACACGCCTTTTCTGGGATGCGTTCTTCCACCATTGACTCAAATGCGATATTTCATTCCAAGTAAATGTGAGATTAGGGTAAAATTGTAGTTTTTTTATAACGTTCGTAATTATCTTCTGTACAGTGTCGTTGTGGAGTGACTCAAATGGTTTCAGCCAAATCGTATCTACATGGGTACGAGGTACTAGTATTACCTAGAAGATTTATTAAAACACTCAAAATGTATATGACAATACTCGTTATTGATATATGGACAACAATTTTGTATTTACCTTAAGAGAGGGCCATTCTGGATTTCTCATGAGGAATTCATATCTATTTTCAAAAATATGGTTCCAAAAATGTTCTTCGTGTAAATGGCGGCTGTCATAAAAATTACAAATTTAGGAGACGTGCTGATAGAAATGTGAAATTTTCTCCATATAGAGTCTGAGGCCCCTTTTGGGAGGTACCCGTTCATCAAAAAAAAGGATTGAATTGAAAAGGTATGAACATGAAAGTGCAAGCCATTACTCACATTTTTGTCTTGCCTGAAAGAAATTATATTCCTGAGGTTCGAACTCAGTATATATTGTTCTTAACGCCATGCAACATGATAGTACTATGTCAAAATTATGTTAACAAAATAAAATATTATTCTCTTTAAAATTTAAAAAAATATTTAGATTCGTCAACTTTTTTTTCGTTTGTCTGTCTATTCGTCGTGTTTCTACAGAGTGTACAGAACGTTCATTTTACTAACAACACTCACTTCGATATCCATATGGAGAAATTTTTCTTGAACATCAAAATCTACTTTATATTGTAATAACTTTGCACAGTTTTTTAATGTTGTCAAATTGACTGGCGATAGACTTGGGCCGTCTTGTTTCCAAATTTCTTGCTTGTCTGGATCCATTTCATATGCAGTATCAGGAAAAGTGCTTTCATTTTCCGCTCTATGATTGTTATAAATGCTAGTTGTATGTATGTTATTTTCATTAGCAATACTTGAATTAATCCAGAAGCTTCCGTCTAAGTTTGTATGATCTGCGATTGTTTTTACCGAAGCAAAAAAAGGAATCGATGGTATTTTATTGATCTCCGCCAGGATTTCATCAGATTGACTGGAATTGTTGACCGTGAATTGGGAATCGTGATCAGCAAATAGGACATTATCTTTATTTGGTAAAAACGCGTCAGTTTTATTAGCAAATGTGTTTCTGGTAAGCCGTTGTTCATTTTGATTATTGTTTTTACTAATTTTTATACGCGAGTACGTGGGTTTGTTCAGTATACCGTGGCCGATGTCTATCGATGATATAACTGTAGAAATCGGCCTTTGTCTTTTATGATCGATAGTGTTGACTTGAGAATATCCAGGTGAAATCAAGTAATCTTTTATTTGGGAATTTGTACTTCCCTGCAAGCTATCACTAAACGGTCTTTGAATCATCTTTGATTGATTCCGCACTATCTTTCTTAAAGCTGTAAAGTATCAAATAAACTAGATGGGTGATTACAAAAATGAAATTGTCAAAACTTTTGTATGAATAACACATACAACTTCACATTTAAAATTTACATGTCCAGTAAATGTCATACATTTTTTTCAATATTAAATATTCTAAATATGTTCTCACGTTTAATAATTATAACGATACAAGTAATAAACTTACTTTTTTCATAGCAAAATATGTCGTGAAACAAAAAACAAACGGCGATGGCAGGTATCCAAATGCTGTTTCTGTCCATAACTGTAACAAGCTGAACTGAAAGCATTGTGTCACAGTTCTGTTAATTGAAGGATGTTTAGTTTCCAATATTTCAACACGATATTATATTTCCTTACTTCACCTTCAATTATGGCGTTCTTTTGCAAGTATGATTAATTGATGCGTAGTTAAAAGTTATATTAGGTTAAAGATTTTTAAAACATTTAATTTACATACATGGCTGCGCTAGCATAGTAAGAAGTAAGCAAGTTTTATGTAATTTGTCCGTCTAAAAGGTTTCAAAAGAATCTACTATTGCATAATGTGCTAATTTAATATGTATAACTTAAAGCCTTAATTACTTTTTTATTTTAATAACGACTAAATCGAATCAACTAACGGAACCTTTTATCCGCGAGCCACGCTCGCACTTGGCCGCTATTCGTTGAAAATTTTAAATATGCATGGTTCCACTGAGTTTTACTAACTCTTTGTACTAAGTACTTATATTAAAAACAAATACTTTTTCTTATAACTGTGGTACAATTACCTAAACTACAATACTTTTTTATTTATGAGTATACTAATATTATAAGAACACAAAAAGCATTTTTAAATATACATTTTATTCTAAAAAATACCTTAACTTAAACGTCATTATTGTATTTTAATACAATAGCATAATTCTATAAGGCTACCATCAATCATAGACAATGATTATTATTTCTTATTTTGTGACTTAACAGAAAGGTGGACTAATCTTCAATTTACTTAATATCTGACTGTGTTCTTTAACGTAGTCTTTTTTCTCTTCTAGCTTTCATACCCTGGAAACTGAAACAAGAACGTGCATGTTATTTATTAATGGAACTAGTAATTCTGTCTTGACTAAATTAAAAATCGATTATAAATTTCAAATATTTACGGCTCGGGCAGGAGTTGATCCGTCATCGTCAGCGTTCTGTGCTGTTGCTCTAATCAATTGAGCTACCGAGTCTTACACATCATCGTCGAATTTTTTCAACTTACTTATACACGCCCGAGTTACATTTTTTTCAATTTACTATCGATTTTTAATTCATTGGGAGCGTATTTCAAAGAAACGTAATAAATAGTTTCGGTCGGGCAGGGCACAGCCTGGTGAACACTTATCAGTAAATATCATCGGTTGATAAAAGTTAAAACACACACAGAAAAGTATGCGCGTATTTTATTCAAGCCTTCATAGAAAGTTTTAGCCATATCTAACAAAAGACACATACCTCTGTCTGGTAATTCCTTTCATATTATGTGGTCGTAATATGAATGTATAGTGGGGGGTGCCGTTGATGTGGAAGGCGTTGGCGACGGGAGGGTAGACAGAGGCGTCGGTGGCTTGCAGTCACTTAGCACAGGCAGGGACGAGGACAGGTGGTGGCCGAAGGTCATCACTCCGCCAATTGAAGACCCGGCCAGCGAGCTCGGCGGAAGCATTTGACTATGGACACCTCGCATACCTGAAAATGGTTTTGTGTTCATGAGGTTTAACACGTTTATTTACGCAAGAAATAAATTTCACTTATGCAAATCCACATACATATTATTACAAGTACTCTTGGATAATTATTTTTTTTTTTTACGTGTCTAAAAACAATTGCCTGTTAAATTTCGACAGTAAAGTGCCGATATATTTTTTTGACACAGTTCATATTTTTTTTGTTACTTTTAATTATGATTGGATAAAAAATATTCTACAATAAAGAGGTATCCTTTATATAATAATAATGAAGCAAAAAAACTATTATTTAAACATATTATGACAAAAATCGCGTTGTACTATTTTACTTAACACTTAAATCTTAGACTGCTGAATTTTAATAATTATATTAAGTAGGGCTCAAAACAGCGTGGCTTATGGGTTTCGGAGCGATCCATAATAAATAGCTTTGGTCAGACAGGGTACATAAATGATACGTACAGACATGTCTGCCCCATACCTCACATTCGGGCTACAGGATTCCACATTTGTATGCTATTATATTATTGTAGCGTAGTCTGAAACGAGATTTAGTTCTCATCGCCCAACGCCAGCCTGGGTCTCGTCATTCGCGCCCACGTGCGTCTTACTCCGTGTAATGGCCATAATTTAAACAAACCCAGCAATCGCTAAGTTTTCGGAAAAGAATCCTCGAAGTTCTATTTTTTAAATATCGAACACGTGTTGCGCGCGATCGTTTAATTTGGATCTAAGTGGTGTTTAATTCCGATGAAAGGGTTTCACTTCACACATCGTTTATTAAGTGGAGGGCTCCGAACAGATTGCTAAGCTGGCAACCGCTGACAGGCCAGGAATTTGTGGAGCGTTGATAAGTTTTAAGTGGAATGGCCAGTCTACTCGGGGGTATACTAGTATAGTTTCGAGGCGAAAATGGACATTCATTTTTCTTCACTGTTTGAAAACTATAATATTTTTCACATGTTGCACATGATGGCACTATAGAACTTTAAAATCTCAATTGCTTAGAGCAACAGCCGTAACGCTATGTCTGTCAAGTCCTGCCCGAGTCGTAAACTTTGTGTAAAAGACTATTTTTAATTTATCTTATAACCATACTTTAGGAATGGTTACTAAATGCAATTATTATTTCACGATCATGTGTAACTTTTTTTGTAATTTTTTTTTCGTGTAAAGAATTATTTATTACCGATTTCATGATATCATTGTTCCATATTTAATAGGAAATTTTTAAAAGTCGAATGTTTCACGAACTCATTGTTAGAAGCCAGTAAGGTAGTGAGTTTGATTATATAAAGTAAACCATGCTTTCTTGTCTTTCCATACATACATCAAAAATAACGCAGTATAACTTAGAAAAAAAAAATGTTAATCTATGAAGCCTCTGTGAGAACAGAAGCAATGGCAACGCGTGTCGGAACTGCATAATTGTTGCATCATAGTTACCAGGAAGACATAAACTGTTAAGAGATAAAGTTCAACTAAGTCACCTAGCCCCAAACCCCCGACAAAGGGGGGCGTTATCGATCAGACTGCACATGTTGATAGTGAAAGTGCATACGTAGGAACAAGCTTCTTTGAAATATAAAAATTATTTATAGGTCTTCGGTTATAGTTAATCATTTTAATTTATACCTTACACTTAATAATAGATTCATCAACCTTTTATGAGTTCCCAGAAATAGAACACGGGTTTAATATACTAAAAAAGGTATTTAAAAAAAAACTTTAACGGTTTATAACGTATATTAGTTAAACTTACCCGAAACGTCGGGCCGAAGTTAAAAATGATTTTCAAATAAGTTAATAATAACTAATATATCGCGTTTCAAACCGTTAAAGTGTTTTATTTAAATGTGTACTACTCGCGTAAACTATAGACAGTATAAAATTGTAGGTAAATAAATATTTATCACAGACAAGCTTTGGGTTCTGTTGATGGAACGTGTACTCCACCAGCCATATAACATCTACACATGATGACATTTGTAATTTAAAAAACTTGGAAACATATTAATCTTTTTGGTTTTCGCTGTGAAAACGGTTCAAGATAACGGAAAATGCCAATTCTTTTTTCTCTTTCAACGATCTAAAAAAAATATTTTTTTTAAATGACGCCAGGACCGCTATTATGCTTATCAAATTTGTTCGAATTTTTCATACGACAAAAGTACGTTTGCCAGCCAGCTAGTCTATAAATAAATATAGAAGTCGCACAAGTCGCATAGCAAATTGACAGAGAAAAAATTGAAATATAAAAAAAATAATTCGCCAGCGAGTTATGTGAATCCTGAATGCCGGAAGAATCTCCGACGTAGCGATTTTTTTACGACTCAATTTGAACTTTAATTAAATAAATACACAGGAAACGTCTCCAGTTTGAATTTTGTTCTATTTTCCATAGTTTAGCATTTAGGATTCACGAAGACGCAATAATCCAGAAATAATTTCACGGGACAAATACATTCGCAGTGTTTCTAGTTTCGACACCTTAACATATCTTATGACATTGGTATAAGATATAATAGTGGCGTATATTGATAATATTTTCTACAGGAGGGTAGGTGTTGAGGAAGGGGTGGCAGAGGTTGAGGGGGGGGGGGTGGTAGCAGGGCATTCCCCTATATACACCACTAAGATATACAAATTGCAATGCTGAATGAAAGGTGTCAAAACTGCATTGTACAGTGAATTCGCTGATTGAATTCGATTATTAGGAAGTTATACCTGACTATTATATGTTGGTGGGTAAAGTTTCAGGTAACCATTGAAGAGTGACCGAGAATATCTGGTATTGCGCCATCGATCCACCCTGAATGAGATAAAGAATTTACAAAACACATTCTTTCAATAAACACGTTTAACGGTTTAAAACGCGAAATATATATAAAACTTGTGGCACCTTACGGACTGCAACAAATCACGAAACGTCGGGCCGTAGTTAAATAAATTAAAAACGAGTTAACTCATATATTACGCGTTTAAACCGGTTAAAAGTGTTTTATTGATATGTGTTCTACTCGCGCAAACTATACAATACTTAAAACACAATGTTGTTATAAGCAAATTACTGCTTGGGTTTTAGAAGTATTGGATTTCAAAAAAAAATAGTTCAAAAAGGGTTAGACGGGCTTGGGTTCGGCATCTGGTCCGTTTAGGAACATTTTATTGATGTTATACTACTGTTTTCTTTTGAACAAAATTTTACGATTGTAATGTAACTGTAAATGTTGGAGATTATAATTCCGGAACGTTTTGAAATAAGTTTAAAAAAAATATTTTACATTTTAAATACTAACCGTGAAATACGTCTGAAATAGACATTAATTTACGAAAGAAATGAGAGAAAACATGAAATGGCTTACTTATAACAGTATTATTACAAATTACAATTTTTCTTCCGAATATAAAAAGCGAAATAAGTCGACAGCGCATTATTTAGATGTTATATGTCTGGGATATTTCATCTTCCATCAAATCTATCTCTATCATAAAATATCTTCCTATGTTTGTTTATTTTAGGATTTGCATAAAGATTATTTCAAAAATCTATCACTGACTTGACTGTCCCGTTGGTCTAGTAGATAGTAGACACATATCGATTGCGCATCTCGAGATCTAGGCTTCGAATCGCGGAGTTTGGGTAGGGTAAGGTCCTCTAATGGGTCTCAGATTATCCACTCTATTAGAGAGAGGATAGCTATCCCCAGAAATGGGCCATAAATATGTTTAAACAAAAGAACGAAATTTCCAATAACAGCCTCGACTTTTAGTGTCAAATATCTTTTGAAAGACCGCACACATCGAAACAGCTTTAACACCAGAATCAATTACTGAATCTATTTTTAATTATACGCGTGAAATGAAATCGGTCTGGTTCGTACGTTTAACGTCCGAAATATATTAAACTTTAAATTTTATTCTACTACATGTTTTTGCACGACTAGTAAAAGCAAGTTAATTTCTAAATGGTGTAGCACTTATTATTTCGTAGATATTAAAATAGTTTTCGATATTAACAAAAGGCTTGCGAAAATGTTTAAATGTCGAAGTTTCGGAAAATAAATTGGTCAGACCATATCGAGGAAGGCTATGAAACATGCGATGCAACAGGAGCGAAGAAACAGTTCCCAAAACATATATGTAAAGAATTATTCTCCTATAAATAAATGTAAGAGAGGCGCGTCGGGATGCGGATGATGTCGTGGGTAACAATTTTTGCCATAATTTGTAAGCTTGAGGTTGTTGTTTGCAAAAATAATATGATGCCCAAAATAACTATTCCACTCAGACGAAGTTGTGGACACAGAAAGTCTTTATACGGCAAAAGAACGTTTACCAGCTAATATCAAGTAATCATACATATAATAGTCTACAAAACATCCAAAGAAACAGCCTTACGTCCGAAACGTAACGAAAATAACACCGCGTCAACGCTAGACAGGTAACGCATTTTATAGTTCTATTAGTCATTAGACGGGAATCGGCGATCTGGCTACATTCAGTGCTGGAATATTAAACAAACGTCAGTTAATGTTAAATCAAAAATTTTCGTAAACATCGTATCGAGGTTGTCGTTCTTAAAACTCGTACTTTTTTGTCGGCATTCACACGGATTATTCTCGAAATACCTATGCATTAATAAAGATCAAACGTTCTGCCGGGCGATGGTGTAAACAGAACGTGGATGGTACCGAGTGCTACACGCGTCCGTACTCGCCCAAATAGGTACGCATTGTCTACACATAAACTAAATATAGATCATATATTTTTACGACGCATTTAAAAAGAACTTTGCCATCGATCGCTTTGACATGTATTCTGTATGTGATTTATCGTTACACAAAGGAAAGTTACGGACGGATTTTGTGTGTCCGTTTTATTTATCGACTTGTAAAAACTCGATTTTACACTTGGTTGCTTTTTCATCTGTAGATATTCCTACCACTTGTTCGATGCTGGGTCAAACTTTAAAACTTGGAAAGGAACGGACTTGGAACA